CCCCCTTGGGCGGAGCACTTAGTCCCCAGGGCTCTCCCCTTGGGCGGAGCACTTAGTCCCCAGGGCTCTCCCCCACTTAGTCCCCAGGGCTCTCCCCTTGGGCGGAGCACTTAGTCCCCAGGGCTCTCCCCCTTGGGCGGAGCACTTAGTCCCCAGGGCTCTCCCCCCACTTAGTCCCCAGGGCTCTCCCCTTGGGCGGAGCACTTAGTCCCCAGGGCTCTCCCCTCCGGGCGGAGCACTTAGTCCCCAGGGCTCTCCCCTTGGGCGGAGCACTTAGTCCCCAGGGCTCTCCCCCTTGGGCGGAGCACTTAGTCCCCAGGGCTCTCCCCTTGGGCGGAGCACTTAGTCCCCAGGGCTCTCCCCTTGGGCGGAGCACTTAGTCCCCAGGGCTCTCCCCCTCCGGCGGAGCACTTAGTCCCCAGGGCTCTCCCCTTGGGCGGAGCACTTAGTCCCCCTTGGGCACTTAGTCCCAGGGCTCTCCCCTTGGGCGGAGCACTTAGTCCCCAGGGCTCTCCCCCCTTGGGCGGAGCACTTAGTCCCCAGGGCTCTCCCCCCTTGGGCGGAGCACTTAGTCCCCAGGGCTCTCCCCCCTTGGGCGGAGCACTTAGTCCCCAGGGCTCTCCCCCCTTGGGCGGAGCACTTAGTCCCCAGGGCTCAGTAGAAGTAAACTTACCTTGTTTTTACTTACCTTTTGTTTACCTACCGTTTTTTTTTCCTCTAGGATAGGAATGTTTCTTTTTTCTTCTTAATCCTTTTTTTTAGGGGAAGGGTTTTTTTTAGATGGTTTGCGTTGATGTATTTAGCTGTACGTAATGTTTTTTGGACCTTTTAACGTATACGTTTTAAACTAAATGCAAAAGCGCAAACTTCTTTTAGGCTTTATAGGATATGAAAAGTCTAAATGTGTTACTAAATGCAAAGTACAGCTTGTCCCGGTGCATATACCAAACCAGTGATTTCAGAATGATTTAGAAAACCTTGTATTGTTGATTTGAAAGTGACAGCATGAAAAGGAAAATGAGACTGTGTTTAATCTCCGAGGATCTTTTAGAAATAATAACCGAGCGCACATACCACTTTCCATACTTCTAGAATGAACGGGTCATTATGGTGGCCACTGAGGTGGAACAGTAGGTTATTATTTGTCGTAATGACCCCCTGTTCCTGCCTGTGACCAATTCTTTGATTGAACTAAAATAATAACCTGTTTAAAACAATGGAAAGGCGCCTTAATTCCGACTAACCGATTGTGTTATGCAAAAAAGGAACTTACCACAGGTTTGGTATATACTGAAATAATTGATCACACAAGACACACAACTGAGCTGGCTGCTTTGTTATCCTGTTGAGGACGGTGGCAGTACATTTTTATTGTTATTTTCATGGCTTTCTCGCATGGCAAATTGTTCTGCTCTTCATCTTTAAGTTAGTCAGGCATACCTGTTTAAAATAGAGAATGTTATTGTCGTTGTAATCACTTCCATCTTGCACTAAATTAGTTATTAATTTCACATTGTGCAACTTGTTTTTTTTTCTTACGTTATTTTACTTTTCCTGCCCCTCTATCTAGTCTTTTATCCCAGCATGAACCGTCCCGAAGCAGAGTGCTATTTCTTACTCAAGTGCAAGCTAAGCACTTTCCAAAACGTTTTTTAAAATCAGTAACAAGAAGTCGAGAAATAAATCTTCAAGCAATCAATGGTAATTCCCAAAAGAATTGAAAGTCTGTGAAACCAAACAGTTAATGTACACTCGGAAGTCGGTACAGTTACATCACAAATGCATTTCAGAAATTTTGCTGGTCTTTACCAGAGTCGTTTATTAGCATCGTATTGCCAGCAAAGCATAAACATATTTTAATCGCATTGAGACGGTAAGGAAGCAGTTGACAATGTATAGCATGTTGCCTAAGTCAGCGTAAAAATTGATGTACACTTACGTGTAGTCTGTATAGGTGGTTTTCATGCAATCTCGGGAGACACAAATAACAATGGTGAAATGAACAAATGCTGATTGGACAAACAAAGCGTGCTAATGAGCGATCTTTTGTTTACCGTCACAAGTATGGCGGCGATGACGCAACGTGAAAACCACCTATATTACAACTAAATACTTTTGTAACTGCTCCGAAAAATTCCCGCTATAGACAAAACCAAAATACGGCCAGATTAGCCCCAACAAATAGAAATTACACTTTGCCCGTCCCGTTCAACTTCCACGAAGGAAGCGCCACCGGTATTTTCGAGCGACAAAAAAACACACACAGGAAAGAATCATGCAAAGAAAATCTGTTAGGTTGCGTTTAAAGGAATCATTTCTTTCTTCAACGAAAAATAAGTAGTGAAAACCTTTAAATTAAAGAAATTGCGGCTCTTAACAAATGTAAATGATAGTTTGACCAGAAGTAACAGTTGAATCAAGAACAAACCTGGCATCTTCAAAGAGGCGGAATCTTGACTATTATTCCGGGTCAGAAATCGTCAGGCTGAGTTTGGTCTTCACTGTACCAGGCAAGGTACCGAGATGTCTTGCAAAAAACAGTTTAATGAACTTGAAATTGTCGTCTCCATTTATACTGTTGCTCGATTAAAATTCAGTCCAGCATGAGACGTTTTTGAGAAAGTTTTTTCTCGAAACGGCATGTGCGAAAAGCATGCACTCTTTGTTCAACAATAGGCAATCAACACAACATTGAAAAATTAAAGTTTGCCGACACTCTCAAGTTCTTGACGAAAACGGTAATTACGCTTGGGAATTCCCTGATATCAAAAAATTACATAACAAAAAGCTCAAGCGTTGATAAGGCTTGACAATACGTTGAGAAAAACACGCACTCCTCTGAGATGACAAAACAAGCGAGTCAATGAGTAGATTTCAAACTCCTTGGAAAACAATGGTCGTTATTCTCTATAAAACCGAAAAAAGTTGAGGAAAATTAGTGATAAAAATTACTAGTTGAGAAAAGTAACTTCTATTGCTAAGTTCCACAAGGAGCATTTTGACTCTCAGCATCTGATTGCACAGTGACTTCGAAAAACTTTTAACATTGATCCAAAAATATATATATAATGCAGTAAGTAAACTCCGCACTTTCAGTTAGACAATGGATAATTAACACGGACACAATGAAAAAGAAAATTTCCCTCCTGGGTAAAACTTGACAAAACTAATATAATGATTAGTTTGCGACTTTAAAGAATAGCCCTATTTCCAGCAGCTCCTGCAGAAGAAATTAAAGTAAAAAGTACGAGGAAAGAAAATATATACAAGCTTCAAACTTTCTCTGTGGAAAATTATTATCTTGTATCTTTAATCAGTGTGCACAACTTTGAGAAAATCTAGTAAAACATATAATGCCAGTTTAGAAAAGTAACGTTATCAAGTTGCACGAATAGCATCTTAATTTACTCCCGAAATCTGATTGTTCAGCGATTTCTAAATTTACAAAATAGTTTTCACTGAAGTGGTGACAAAAACCGCCACAGAAACAGCCCCGTCTAAAGTTGATCGATAATCTATTGCAATTATTTAGGTGACAGGTTGTACTGGAAAATTAGAACACTGATTATGTGAGTGAGAGCTATAATCAAACATTTTAAATAGCGTTTCACATGATTTAATACACCGCCTCTTTTTCCTGGTACTCGGCTCCCGCTCTCAGAATACCAGCTAAAAGAGGCTTGTTTACCATTTACGCATTTACATGGCAAACCGGTCGGTCCGCGGTTTGAGTAAATAGTATGCAAAATTCAGCACTGGTAAATTTCGTCCCGGAATGCATTTGTCAGCTACCTTTACCGGGAAACGGCCGCAAAAGTCTGATGCTGGTATCAAAGATACCTTTGAAGAAATGGAACACGAGTTTCCGTTTGAAACGTTCCGACCGAGAAAACAGGGGCGCTTTCCAATCAACCAAAACGTCCGGTTTGAATTTCGGCAACATCCATTAGCGAATGGAACAACATTTTCCAAAATTTTCAAAAAAGGTCAACCTCGCGAGGCATACCCAACTTTTGGATACTTTTCCCGGGAATTTCTAGAATTTTCGGTTGAATGTTTCGCAACTCAACAGTTCCCGTAATTTATGGAGACTTTTCGGGAAAATTTCCGTAGCATTTGCCGCTGTTATGCAAATTTTAGAAAGTTTTGGTTTAATGGAAAGTGACCCAGGTCTACCTGTTCAGATGTTCTGTTTCTCCCGGACATTTTCCACCGAAACGACCCGAAAAGGGGTGTTTCATTTACTTTCAAACTGGATTTTCCAGAAACATTTTGTAAATGATAAACAACCGAGGCCTCTGGTAGCATTCACAACCCTCCTAGTTCTAGATCGGACGTTCTAACCACTGATCTACTGGATCTCCATGGCGGCAGGTTCGAATTTACAAACATGGTCGCCACAGCCAAAGGTTTCTGAAATTCCCTGAATTTTTTCTGACAAATATGAAATATCCTTGGCCGAATGAATTAACAATTTCACAAATTTTGTCATAATAATGGCCTCTATCCTGCCCTAACAGCCATCCTCTCTACCCATTTTTTTATGTTTCACCTGAAGTCACGTTCAGAGTACAGTCAGCTCATCGTTCAATTTTATGAATAACATTCTATCAATACAGTAAAACTCCGCGACTAAGAACCTGGAATTTTGTAAGTTAGCCGAAACAGGTTCTTATATAAATGGCAGTTAGCACAATTTGAGGCTATTTAGGTTCTTTTCTCCTGACCATCTCTTGACCTGTGGCAACCAGGAAAAAGTTGATGTTCCTTTTCTGATACATTTCGTATGTTTTTGTCGTGTTGTAAAACACGGTACAACAGCCGTCCTAAATGAAATTCTTATAAAGAGGTTTTTCCGATCATGATCAATGATCGATCGGGTGGGTCCGGTCAATCCGATTGTTTCCGATTATCCATTATGAAGTCGCGGCCGATTTCCAACAATAGAGAGAATTACACAATATCGATGCAAAATACATTTTTATTTATAATACAACAATCCCTCTAGATACTAACTGGTCGCGGTCTGGCTTATCAGGCAGTGGATGCTATCGCTCGTGGATTGATTGCCACACTCTTTGTACAATTATCCGTTTTAAATATGCCAATGAGTCGGTCAGCTAATTCAAACATGTTGTTCCGTAAGCTGATGATTATGAACTGTGCATTTTTGGTCCTTTCCTGTAGGGAGAACATAAAGAGCAAAAGAACTGGTAAGTTGAAGTGGTTTGTACGTCTTTCCCCTTTTTATCTTATTAGGCGTCCTAGGCGCTTCTTATATTTTTGGGCCTTGGAAGTGGGCGTTTATTAAATTCTCATTATTTTCAGCAAGTAGTAAGTTAATTTTCCAACAAAACAGCAATAAGTACAAAACGTGAAGATGTGCCGGAGCAGAATTATAACTGTTAATTGAAAGTTTATTTAAAAAAGACTAAGAACTCGTTCGGTCTTCTAAGTTTCTTAGTAGTACCTAGTCAACTTATAACTCATCGCCAGTAAGGTCAATTATAACCAAACCAAAATAACCAAACTCTCTGGTGTTGCCTCGTAGATGTCTCACAGCGTAACGTCTGCGAATGGGTCAGTCGACGAGGAGCAGATAGGGTGGTAAAAGAAACAATAACCAATCCTCTTCTTGTCTACTGCAGTTTTATTCGAGGCTGGGCGAACCTTTACTCCCTACAGGATGGGCGCTTATTTGAGGTGGGCGCTAATTCGAGGTTGGGTACTTAATCGAATAAGTACGTATCTGTTTACAAAGTTCTCGGTTGAGTCTACATTCAGCAAAAGTATTACGGATCAAACGGTATACATATTAACCAAAACAAATAGACGGAATTAGGAAAGGAAGAAAGAAAGAAAATTGGAGGAAAAAAAGAAAAAAAATGAAAAATAAGACAGCGCGGCTTGATCGAACGCTAAATGACTCTGTTGTTTAGTGACCAGGGTTAGGAAACTGACTGAATCAAGTTTCAGGTCAGTTTGCCAGTAAAATGATCTTCATGGAACCTGATTCACTCAGTTTCCTCACCAAATCACCAAATTTAAGAGTCATTCGGCTTTCGACGTTGGCTTTCCGGATTCCGGGTTTTAGGCAACTACAACACAACTTCCTAGAGAAAATTCATTCTAATCATGTCCTGATATTCAGAAAAAGAAAATTCATTCTAATCATGTCTTGATATTCAGGGCTACCCAAGCCTGTTGATCCTTTCACACCTAGATCAAGTCATGGAAAGATGACTTTGCCCTCTACTTTTGAAGCTTTTTTAACCTGTGTTAACCTGTGAGCGAAATCCTATGAAGTTACCATTCAAATGAAATCTCTTCGGCAGAACTTTTTGAAAATCTATTCGAACCTTAGGATTTACAAAAAGATATTTAGTTTTCTGTGTGATTTTAATTTGACCAGAACTAGGGGTGAAAGGTTTAACTACAGTAAAACTGTTGCTGACCTTAATGTAGTTGGCCACAATTGACACATTTCTGAAGTCCAGGGCAGCATCGATTTCATCCATCACATACAAAGGTGTGGGCTTGTAGTGATGAAGAGCAAATACCTAAAAAAGCGGGCAAAAATGTAACTTCCAACAAGTACAACGTGCATTATATCGAAAGCCATTACATTAAAAAGCAAACAACATACTCAAACATACTATCAAGCCAAAGAATTGGACAGCTAAATCGGCCATGCTAGGGACTCACATGGAACAAAAACATCTCCCTGGATGGCAAACGACCCAGTGGGGGAGACTTGCTACAAGTCGACCTCTCACAAGTTCTTGAAGAAATCGAAGCGAGCTTCAAAGCATGAGGTCGCACAGCGACCGACGAAATCTCGAGGTCAACTTGTTTCGCCTGAATGGATTTGAATCATAATAAATTCACGGGGGAAAAATGATTGACATACGCTGTGTCGGGAGCCGCGTGAAATATCTTTCACCGTCCTATTGGTCAATTGTCCTGACGTCACCTGTAGAATTTTCGACCGGTGAATTATGAAGTCCTCCAAAATGGCATAACCAAACAGGAAAAAAAATTAAAGACTTATAGAAAGTCTAGCAGTGGAGCAGAAAAGTGAAGAGAATGCATCATTCAAAAAAACCCCAATATCCTAATTCGTTTCAAGATCCCACAGCGTTGTTTCTTTTTCTCCAGCGAGGTGTTTTTGTACCATGTGACCGTTTTGTGCAAAGGGCCCACGAAAGCAAATCGTAAACCTACCAAAGCTAGAGAACTCAGTGTCTTCTCTCCACCCGATAAATTTGAAATATTTTTCCAGCTCTTCTTTGGTGGCCTCACACTGAGAATTGAAACAGTGGCAATCATTAAATGAAATTAATTAATTATCCAAAGACAATACACCATACGGTCTTCACGATGATTTTATAGAGACTTTAAGATCCGACGACGCGACGGCAACGTGAAAAAACCAGTAGGTTTAGTTGGCAAAACAACACCTTTGAACGTGCACCACACTTTTTTAAACATTTCTTTGCCGTTTTTGCATGACTCAGTTATTGACTGCGACGCAAAATTACTTAATTGTACGTTTTATGGAATATGTGAACAAACGACGACGAAATTTTATTTCTCTGTAACTTGGATATGGTTCTTCGGACGGTTTGCCTACATTTGACAATATAAGATGGTAGGAATAATTACAACTGAGACTGAAGAACGCAAATTTACTTTTAAGAAGCGTTTTGGCTACCGTCGTGTCCTCAGATCTTCAGGTCCATAATTTCAAGATGCTTGTTTTAAGTTTTTCTCTTCCAAGAAAGCTCCCGATTAAAATTTTAAAAAAACCCAATTACTATTTAGCTCGAAAAAATCGTTGGAAAAGTCAACATGCTGTCCGCTGAAGAGTTTTTTTACCGTCAAAAAGGCAAGGTTTATTACAGCACACAGTTGACAATGTTTCCATTAGAGTAGTATAGTGGGGACGTTTTACTCCGTTTTTGAGTAGGAATCTCGTTAACTCGCACAGGATGGTATCCTGCGCAAGTTTACGAGATTTCTGCTTAAAAATCCGAGTAAAAGACCAGAAGTAAGTGAGAAGAAGAAGTATGAGCATCTGTTGATTGGGCAAGAACCAAGTGTCTGTGGTCCGCATTAACGTGTGTCCGTAAAAAGCGGATTGAATTAAGAGAGAATTAAAGGCTTTTCCCCAGTGACAAAAAACTGTCCATATTTAGCGTTTTTGTAAAGCGGGTTTTCTACTGTATAATGAAAACAAAATGACAATAGTTTAGGACAATAGTTTAGGACAAGAGAAATTGAAAACAACTCTTGTGTAAAATTTTGGAGGGACAACAAACTTTTTTGGTATTATTTAAAAAGACTTATTAGAGGGCAAATGGGTCACGTGGCGCAAATTATCGTTTGCCGTTTACGTGATTTTAAAATTCCTTTCTTGTATTGTGTTACTAACCTGAACACAATTCCTTCAGAGAAAGGATCAAGACTGTCAACCAGCTCCAGCTCAGCGTCACCGCCAAGAGTAATCATCTACAATGGGGACAGAAAAAAGTTGTTGTAAGGAGTTGTTACAGGAGGCAGCGTGGCCGAGTAATTAGCGCGTCGGACTCGCAATCCGGTGGTCCCGGGTTCGAGTCCCTCTCTGACCGCTAGCTGGATTTGTTCTCCGTCGTCCCGAGTTCAAATCCTCAGCCATGCTTGTAAATTAGCCAACTGGTTGCCCCCTGCTAGTTGGGGTTTTTAATCCTGTTATGTTGTATTTAAATTATTTGTTTCTAAGTATTTGAGTGGAGTGCCTGTAAACTAGCTAGATAAGCTAAGTGCACTTTCCACTATAAACAAGCCTTTACACCTTTTTTTCAAACCTTTAAAAAAATACTCCAATATTACCAACCAAGTACAGTACTGCTCTGTCCTTTTTGCGCGGAAATTCAAACGCACGTTTTATCTCTCTTTCTTACTGAATGCCAACAAGTTGATCGATGAGTTAACCAGAGTTTCCCATAAAACGCCAAGGAATTTCTTTTAACGAATGGCAATGAATAGGAATTCTCCTCTGGGAAAGATGGACCATAGCGATTTGAGGGCGAGTAATTGGCAAAATTAAACAAAATAAACTGGACTGCCGTGAAACAGCCCCTTTAAAGACCGGTGATTTCGGCTGGCGGCTGGAAGCGCAGCTAAACCGCGAAGATCTCTAAGTGGAGAGTCGCAAATCGGATAGGTGTTCATACTATGCCGGATAGCTTTTTTCGTCTCGGCACGAATAACTCTTCCGTATAGTATGAGCATGGCTTAAGTAGTGGTAGTCATGGCTAAGGAAGTCATTAAGCACCTGGTACATTTCCTTGAGTTTAGTGGTGATCACGGAAAACCCTGTCATGAACTCATCAAGGCGCTGTTTGCGCATGGCTTCATGCTCTTTTCTTTTCTGATCACGATCGTTGGTGACGTCATCAAGCTCCTTGACTCGAGCCAGGTAAGCTTCTTCCTGCAGAGTACACATCATAGAAAAGGTTACAAACTTCCGCATCATGTGACCATAAACAAAGCGTGGCGAGAAGTGGGAGGGAAGGAAACTAAAAACCTTGGTTTACAAAGTCAATAAATGTGATATAATGCCATATACTGATTATAGTGAATAATTAGGAGCAAGGTTTATTAAAGATATTATTTTACATTTGAAGGTTCACACCCCACGCCCGTGACATGGCGAAAATAAGGAGGAGACGTTTGCCATACATTACCTTTTTACGATATTCAGCAATAGCTGCCATGTTTGGTTTCATCTGCTGTAATTTTTCCTCCAAAACAGTAATTTCATACTGAAAAAAATGCATCAACAAAATTACAGACAGGCCTCCAGAATCAGGGCCAGAAGACAAATGAGAAGGATGCTTCTTCAGTTTAACAGGTTTCCTTAATTGAAAAATTGACGGCATGCTTTTTGATTGAAAATTACTGACTAATTCCCCTTATAATAATAACTAGGAAGTTTAAGAGCGAAAATTTAAAAAACAATAGGTTTAATGTGCAAAATATCAACTGTGCACATATATCACATTTTTTTCGTACAATCTTTACCATCACTGCACGAATACGACGTGAAACTGTTGTGTTGGCCTTACCACATCAATGTACTTGAGGGGTGATGCTACACGGGACGATTCGCAGCGACGACTTTAAGCGGCAAGGGTATTTCGCAGCACCGTGACCGAATGACTCTGAAGTTTAGACGCCGGGGTTAGGAAACTGAGTGAATCAAGTTTCAGGTCAGTTTGCCCAGTATAATGGCCCTAAATGGAACCTGATTCTCTCAGTGTCCCAACCCTAATAACTAAACTTCCGAGTCGTTCCGCGGTCGAAGGTCATTTGGCGTTCTGCAAAATAACGCTGCCAGATTTTCAGCGCATCAAAGCATTTCCGTCAATGTTGAGACATTGTTTCCAGTTGTTGGAGCATTGTTCCACAATTGTTGCGCTAAAAATAGTCGTTGCAAATCGTCCCGTCTAACATTACCTTAAAACGTGTAAATTTAACTCAAGATTGTGATTTCGACGGCGCTCACCCTTCAGGTGCTCCACCATCCCTATTACATGGTTCGTTCAACTTCAGACGAACAAATTTCTAGGACTTTTCAAGGATTTTTCAAGGACAAATTACAGCTTTCAAGGAGTAAGATTTATTCAATAAATCGGCATTCTTAAAACCCCTTTTGAACACATTATTGAAACACGTCATGGAGTCATTTACGATTTTTACTTCTTCAGCCATGGTTGATCACATTATTTTGCATCACTTTCCGCAACAACGCTTTGGAAAATGACCGCGTATGACTTGCAATTGCATCTAAGGTACAGAAACAGCATTTAAAATAAAGAAACAAAAGTAAGATATTCCTCAGGCACAAAAATGTTTTCAAACAAAGTAGTGAATTTCAAGGATTTTTCAAGACCTAATAAAGGAATCAAGTACCTTAACCGAATTCAAGGACTTTTCAAGACAGCTACTAAAACTCACGACCTTTTCAAGATCGTAAGAACCATGCTGTTTTTCGTCATTGTTGTATGCAGTAACTTTCAAACTAAAAATCTGCTGCTTACCATGACAGTTTCTTTATCAACCCCTTCCAGTTCCTCTCGCGTCAGAGTTGGAAGACTCTCCTCTGGTTCAGCATCAGCTGAGGCACTTACAGACTGCAGCGACAGCTTACTAAGCTAAGGGCGCAAATACATCAATAACAATTAATCAACTATATGCAGCTATGAGGGTAGACGGTTTGATAGTCTTACGGTGGTGGGCTGGGTGGTAAACACTTCACTGTTATACAGAATGAAGGCCGGTCAACAGACAATGTCCGACAGAGATGTCCATTTGTCTGGACAAACTTTCGCTTTACCGGTCACTTTGACAGGACACGTAAAAAAGCGACCAGAAAAAAAATTCATTTTCACACTATTACGTTTCTAGAGGACTGTCATGTTTTTTCATCTTACATTTTTTGCTTGTTACTAGGCTTGTAAGTTCAAGGTATTATCGTGCTATTTTCAACATTCTCACAGGTCAGAAGAGAGACGATTTCGAGCTAAGACTTGTTTGGTCGGTCAACAGGTCATTGGTCAACACGACCGGCAATAGTCCCAAATTATTTTATTTTTTGTCTTCTACAGTGGAATCCCGAGTTTTCCAAACACCTAGGGAACAGCAAATTGTTTGGAATCTATCCGGAGGTTTGAGAAATTGGGGCTAAAATTACAGTGTTTGACTGGCAAAGAGGAGATGGGTTTGGTTCGAATAGGAAAATTGCACGATGACGAACTTTTACTACAACTACCAGAATTCTTCAGTTTGTGTTTTCTTGTGCAAATTAGGCCTATTGTTTTTTGAGCCCGAGCGGGATTAACAAATTTGAATAAGAAAGCAAAACGAAATGAATTCTGGTAGTTGTAGTCAAATGTAGTCATCGTGAAAATGGTCTACGATCGGCATTTTCGAAAAAACCCAGTGTTCGAGAAATTCTACTGTATCTTTTGTTTCACTCTTTTGACTTAACGTTCAATAGCATTTCTGTCAGTTTTAAGTTACTGAATAACAGGTTTTCTTTTCAACTAGTCGAGGAAATGTACTTAGATTTAAAATTTCGTTCATTGATTACGTAAAGACAAAAAAGTACACTTTAAGTTCACTCTATATTATTCAATTTACCTCGTTCAAAAGTTTAGTTCAATTTTTTTTGTAAGATTGTAAATGTGATGATCAATAATGATAATGGTAAAACATAAACATAAACTGCAGCATCGTTGTTTTCATCTTTAATAGTTAGTAGCTTCCATAACCAAACTTCTCTTGCCAACGTCTTTCGTTGTTTACAAAAAATAAGGATTTGATCCTTCAATGTAAGTCTGCGAGCAGGGTCTCCATTTTTGGCGAGCGTTGCGAGCGGCGAAGCCACGAGGGGTGGAGGTTTCTTTCCTCGCTCTCGCGTGACTACTCGCAACTCCCCTAAATGAAGAGCTTGCTCACAGGCTGCATTGTATACCTCTTTCTGCCAGTGCTTGACCTTCTGTTGATTTTCCTTCAATACAGTCTCATATTTTTCTACTTCATGTTTGATATCCACTTCTTGAGCTCGCAGCTTGTTTTCTTCCTTCTCGACTGCCTCCAGTTCTTTCCTCAAAACGTCCAGGGATTCCTCCATTTCCGACATCTCTTGCTGTGTGTACAATAAGCACAATAGAGAGTTTTAGATCCGAGTTTACCGCGAGCCTCTGACCGCTGGAGGTCACATGACAAGTCTTTCGCGTCACGTTTGAGGTTTACGACGTGCGTTTTCAACGTGGGGAGATAGGTTTTCACGTTATGTCATTTACCTGAAAGCTTTTAGCGCATAATTCTTGTTTTATCCCACGTAATGATAACTTATAATTTCACGCAACATTTCTAGGAGATCTGTAAAGTTGCTTATTCTAGATGGCCTGCGCGGCTCAAATCAAGATACCGTAAACTGCAGCTGCTTATAAGCCCTGGATTTACAAATCTTTGTGAGGGATTTAAAGAGGGCTGATAAACGGAGGGCCTTATAATCGAAATAAAAAAAGCGCTTCGAAACAAGTTATATCAGTGCTGATCAAAAGACGTTCTGCTTCTACTGGTTTTTAATTAACCCTTTAAGCCCCAATATCCACATACAAATTCTCCAAACTGATCTCTATACATTTCCTTCAAGAATGAGTTGAGAGAATTTGATAAAAGATCAAGGCATTTTCCCTTAGGTGATCATTTTATTAATTCTTATAACCTAATCTCTTGACATTGTATGGATATCGTTAGGAGAAAATTGACGTTAGACACTTTTGGGACTTGACGGGTTAAGCTTCAAAACGTCATAATAAATCGTCTTCTTTCCAATAAGCCATTTGCACGATGGCGTCATTTTACTACTACGACCAGAATCTTTCAGGCTTTTGTTCTGGGATTACCAAATTTAGATATGAAAAGACAAACGAAAAGGATTCTGGTCGTAATAGTTAAAAGATGCCATCATGCAAATGGCCTTTACAAGCTAGAAGGGGGCTTATAATCAGATGTGTTTTTTGTTTACAGGTAGATGGGCATATAACTGGAGGGAGACTTTAAAGCGGGGGGGCGGGGTATAAGCGGCTGTTTTCGTTTATGGTATTTTTCTCAGTCTTACAGAATTTGACTAAACTATTAGAAAAGGCTTTTGAGTTTTATTAATGAATTAACTTTATCTATGTTCCTCCACGCTGAGGCACAATTTAAAAATTTCAACGCTTTCTAACAAAAAAGGAAAGAAAAACAGAGGTGCCTCCTAGTTTCACATTACAACTAACCTGAGCCTTTTCATAATCTTGCAGCACGTTGCTGGCTTTCTCCTCTAAAGTCGTAAACTCCTCCTGTAAATAATAAAAAAAAACACACACACGCAATAAATCAGTCTTACACGAACTTTTCTTGCTTCTCCGCAAGGAAGAACTTCGACAGACCATCCAACTTGTTTGAAAACGTCTGTGAAAGGATAGCGATGTATACTAAGAGTAAAATTACTGTGCCAAGGTTTGTACTGTTATACTAGACCTGTATCTAGTAAATCTCATGGCAATAAATCTGTGAATCTCCATCGCACAGATACCTTAAATCGTACTTTCTACTTGCAAATATTTGAATTCTACTACTAAAGTACGTGAGACTCCTAAACAGCACAACACTTTGCACCAAGGCTTTAGGTGACGAAATACGTCATATAAAGTGTAAGATTCAGATTTCTCCACAGAGATTTACAAGTTATGATTTTTGTATTTAACTTATGTGAACGTTATTATCACCTATTTCGAGATTCCTACCTCAAGCCTTTTAATGTTGGCATCATTTTCTTCAATGTCCTTCTCGAGTGAACTTATATTGTCCTCCGCCTTTTTGGTGTTCCTAGATATTATACAAATATCGAGATATTATACAAATATCGAGATTAAACATTACCTTTATTGGAGAAATATATAAAAACGACAAATCACTCCTCGACTTCAAACTCCTGTGGTATCATGAGTGTCAGTATTGAAACGAAGCCTCTTCAGTATCACTTTAGAAAGTTGTTTTCAGAACAACATGTACACTATAAACTTGACTGAACAGTCTACTCTTTTCATACTCATTATAAACACATACCTTTGACAAGTCTTGATGGCAACATTTGCTTTCGTAATCTGTCCTGCCACTTCATCCATAGCTTTGGTCAGTACATCCACTCGGCCCTATTAAAAGACAAGGAGACTAGACTCAGCATAAGCCACAATTTACTCATCTTAAGTCTGCAGCAATAGGCGGCTTACAACTGATCCATCTGTCAGGCGGCATCCAACGACCGTTTCCTCCTAAAGGCATTGAAAACACCTTTTAGGCTGTCCAGAGTATTTTTAGATCCCTAAAAAATGCATTCTAGGCGGCGCTGTAAAATTAGTATCTGTTCGGTCATCCAAGGGAACTTGAGTCTTTTCAAAATTTCAAGGGCTTGAGTATTATTTTTTTCCCGAAAATTTTAGATGAAATTTGTAGTATTACGAAAGTGAGACATTTTCTAATTCCTCTCTCCATCATATTTTTGAATCCGAAAATTTTACGTTTCTTTCAGAAAATCGTAGAGAATTTATTAGATAAGCTTCGAAACTTGTACATGGATGGAACTGTCATTTAGAAATTTTTAGCCTTCCTCAAGTGATAGAAAATTCTACGCAATATTTGCTTTTCCGAACAGATATTTAACAGAAAACAGTCGTTAGGTGCCCCGATCTGAGAATGGGATGTCTGTCTATTTTGGGGATTAGAACTGACCTGTTGTGTCTTGAGCTTAGCACCACCAATCTCCATAATTTGCTTGTGAAGTCTGCCAAAACAAAAATCTCAGATAAGAATATTTACTCCTTTCAAAATCATACTCAGGCTGTGTTCACATGGCACTGGACGAATTTTCGTCTGACTGAAAAATTTGAGCAGGCACTTCGCTCATACGGGACCGTTCAATTGAGCGATGTTCGTATGACCTTGAAATGAACACGCGCGAACAAAAAAGAAACAACAAACGGACGGAAATAGAGCGATTTGATTGGTTTATCGAACGGATAAAAACTCGCGTGGCTTTTGCTTGGTTAAGCGAACGCTCGGGTGAAAAATCTTCATGCCCGAGAACTTTCTAGAAATCAACCGATACTTCGCTTTGACGTCATACTGCAACACGATTGGCCAATCGAACAATGCCTTCTTTATATTAGGGTTTTCTTTAGCGGGAAAACGAAGGTCATATTTTCATATTTTCATATTTTCATCCATTGGCTGATAAAACAAATAACGAACATTAGCCGAAACCATTTTTTAAGGTCATACGAAAATCACTTCATTTTCGCTCTGTTCATACGGAACTTTGAACGTCCAGGCGTCTAAATTTTCGTGACGTTATGGTGGTTCCCTATGTCCGAAGCACCTAGATGCAAGAATTTTTAACCCGGTAGAAAGTTATTCTGATGCAGTGTCAACATAGCCCAATCATTCAAATAATCCGTTAAAAACTTACTTCTGCACCTCCGTCTCAATCTTAGCAGCCGACGCGGCCGCTGTCTGCCAATCTGTGAAATGTCAGCAAGATGGAAATGTTAGGAAAGATGTAAAACGTTGTTCGAGCTACATTAAGCACTACAGGATTAGCTAGGTCGGTAGTGCGCTTGACTGTTTGGTTGCAGGTTCGACAGTAACTAAGGCAGTGATTTTGTTACCTCACCGTCCTGCGTCCCTGACGCATAAAAATCATCAAAGACGCAAAATAATTCATGGCATGCGTCCTGCAGGACGCAAAGAATGATCGATCGATTTAAAGATCTTTGGTAGAATATCCCGTTCGTGTGATTTCTGTGGCTGTTGTTTAAAGAGGCATATTTATTTTAGTCTTTTTACTGTTTTAAATGTATAGAAGGACTATATTTTAATTTTAGTAAACTGTAATAAAGAGTTTTGTCGTCTGTCCCAACTGTCTGGTTACATAAAGGCCCCAGCATTTTCAATTTCGGACTCCTTGTTTCTTTTAACTGGGACTCACTGGTTATGGACAGGGACTCATAATTTTTCACAAGATGAGTCCCAGGACTCACCATAACTATTTGCAACAAAATCACTGCTAAGGCCCCGTTTTTATAGAGAAAATAAGTTGTCCCAGGCGTAAGGATCACCCGCCTACCCGAGCGACCATGGGCGACCGAACGTTTTATATTTTCCTTACAATACGTGGCGAACTGTTTACATGAGAAACAAAAGGTTGGCTCGGCTTGAAAGGTGACCCATCTAGCCTGGTCACCCTTTCTCATGACTTTTACCCTCCTAGTCGGGCCAACCTTTCTCCATACAACACTTTGACTTGTCCAGCCGGGGTGAGACAATCGGAGCATGTTGCAAATGAGTGCACCTTATGGTTATTTACTTCTGAGAGTAATTAATTCATATTTAGCTTTTTGCGCTTTTCATTTTTTTCTTTGAGTATATTTTTACGACAATGTTATGGCAATCAGGTATATCTTTGCCGTTAACAGAAACATTGATAAATTTAATATTTCTTGCCTTTCTCATGCTTTTTCACAGCATCCTGCAGTTGCTTCAGCTTGGCTTTGTCTGGTGTGCTTTCTTTCACCTGTTTTTCAAGGTGCACAATCTGCTGCTTCAATGCCACTTCCTGTTCATCCAGCGCCTTCAGGAATCAAAACGATAAAATATTGTGATTTCAAGTAAATGTAAAGGTTATTTCCTTCCAACGAAACACCTCGAAGCCCTTGATGCACAAACTTGTTTGCAGACCCAGTTGGGCGAGTTTGCACGAGCTGATGAAACCAGCGAGAAAAATTGGGCGAGGAAAAGTTTTTTCTTGTCCAATTCTTCTCGCAGGCCTCGTAGCCGGCTTGTACGAGTGCGACCGCTCGCAGGCTTGGGGAAGACCTTGATTACCCAAAGAAAAACCTCTTAGAGCCACGATATACAGATGTACGTCCCACACGTTTTCTGGTTTGCCTGTTTTTGTGCCAACAAGAAGAGCTATTGTGAACACCTATCCGATAACTGAATCTTCACTTTTGAGATCGGCGCGGTGCAACTTCGCTCCGTTACAGGAATTACGCCGAAATCACGGTTCTTATGTGTGTGAACAGAAGCTCTATTCGGTATGGTTTTGGTGCCGGCGCAAAACTTATTCGGTTTAGTGTGATCATAGCCTAAAACCGGTTACGTGGGGTCCGTTTCTCGAAAGTCCCGGTGGTAGCTTTTCAGGCCCGAAATCAAATATTCAAATCAAAATCTAAAGAATAAAAAGCACTGGTATTAGCTAAAAAAAATCAGTCGATTCTCCTTTGTTAACTAACAGTCTTATCATGTTAACTGCAAAATTGTTGAAACATCGATCTTGAATATAAACAACGGGTTTTCGGGCCCGTTAAATATCGGGAGTTTTAAGAAACGGCCCCTGGTCGAACATATCATTTTCATTTCTTTTTCTGAAAAGCAACAATTCAGGGTTTTCAATTAGAGCCGGTGGCCAGCGAAATTCGTGGTCTATTTCACGTGAACTCGCCGCCTCCTTTTCTTTAGAAATTACCCCAGTTTAAATAGAGTATGCATGTGCTGTCACTGAATAATAAAGCCAAAATTTAATCACGTCTTCGTGTCTGTTCAAGCACTCTAATGTTTGCTCCAGGATGCTGGCAATGCATTCTATGCATTCAAATTTTTCCAGAAACTCTCGCTTGCAAGTCGCGCCTTTGCCGCTAGTTTGTTTCCTTCGTCATCTACTCCAAAGCTTTTGTCATCTACTTAAACTCTTATCAAAAACCCTGAAATTATTTGCAGCTCTGCATGCTAACTGATTTGCAGCTTTAGTAGGTGGATGTCAGAGTGCTTTTACAGGTTTGGGTACCTTGGTCTCCATGTTATATTTCTGTAAGTTGTGTTCTGCAGTTGACAGTTCTTTCTTTAGTTCATCCACCATTTCTTCGAGTCTTGTCTTGGATTCTCTGTATTCCTGTAGTGTGGGAAATTGCCGGGTCAGGCTAGGTATTTTTGTAAATGAACAAAATGCCATTTTGTTTTTAATAAACAAATAAAGAAGCCTTGACTGTGCTCTGTTCTGTTGTAAACAACGCAGAAGGCGGCTTGAACACCAAAAAAATCTAGGAGGAAACACGAGACGCAGTCAACTATTTCTCCTTAGAGTGCTTTTTGAGTGCTCTAGCCGCTTCTAAGTGCTTTGCTACAGAAAAGAGCATGTAGTCAAGGCTTCTTCATTTGTTTATCAAGAAAATGGCTGCCCAGCTAGCGCAATTGAACTAGGTACACGCCACATCTCAACGATTTACACCTGGACAACCAGGGTTATAAAGAAATCCGAGCCTGAATAATATTTCATGCAACTGCTTAGCTTTAGGAAAACCATAAACGCAACTAAGGTAATAAAAGCACACGGCCTGGCACGTGACCACCGAAACATTTCGCCAAATTGGTAATTTCAGAGGCCAAATTTATTTTCTATTCGCCATAGCGACCAAAATGATCACAGCTGGGAGAGCTGTATCTAGAAAGAAGACAGCAGAAAGTGAATATATACCTGATTCAATGCTTTGGGCATTGAAACGCACTGAGAAGCTATTGTTTGGCGGTCAATTAAGCGAATCATTGCAGAGAATTCCGTATGCCCAAATGCCCTATTGTCAAAGCAATATTCTTATTCAATTAGGGTATAGTTAGACTCACTACAAGTCGACCTGTCATAATTTCTTAAAAGTGAGCGACGAAGTCTCGAGGTCGAAAAATGGCATAACCAACCAGAAAAAAATAAAAGAACAAAGGATAAAGGATTAGGGTATAGTAATCAGGTAACAATACCGCAGCTGCTTTTGTTTCGTTCTCCAAAGATTTCTCCATGGCCTCAAGCTGAGCAGGGCTTACATCAGCTACAATACGCGAGCCCATCCTTCCTTTCAAAAGTTTGGTTCCTCCACCACTCATGGTACCTTCAGATTTAGTAAACAGCGAGTCAGCTTTGAATTATGGCAAATCTGTTTGTATCAAAGTTGCCTGGACAAATTCGGGACAAGATTTGATGTTCTTAAAAGCAGGGGTTTGCAAAAGTCTGCCTGTTTTTAAGGTCATCTTTTAAAGCTATCTGATATGCAGGACAGGGCCTGAGACTAACGCTACCGGACTAGGCAAACGCACGTGAAACTTCAGCTTTGGTCGGTAGATTATTGCTTCATTAGCCAACTGGGCTAATGGAATTTCAAAGTACTTTATTTCCAGACATGTGGTCACGGCGGCCATATTGGTTTACAAAAAATTAAACGTCGGCCATGTCGGTGTACAGAAATCCTGTGGGGATTGAACTTAGCGCAAGTCCAGTCTTTTCTTCTTGAAGTTTCTCCCACATCCGTTCGTTGGTATTAGTCTTGTGTTCTTAATTTTTTTTTTGAGTCAGTTTCTCCGAACGACACTATTCTTGTCTTCTAACCAGTTCCTCATACAAGGAGATTTCGCGTATGTCAAATTATTTTCCTACAACTGTAACTTAAGTAGAGTCGCGGAAAATCTTCAGTCTTTGGCCTTAAGATGAACATGAACCATGATGCTTGAAATAATGCACTGGCTTCTAAAGCGCAAAAAGATTAATGTTCCAGATATTCTTTACCACGTCAAAAAGAAAATCATTTCCAGATATTCTTTTTACCACCCAGTTCAACTACACCCAAAAGCTTTTCGTCGAGCAAAATTGATTTATGGTCGTTAAATTCCTTCACTGGTCACAGTGGAAAGCAAAATCCACTAGACTACAAAGTGGTAGTTCAAATGGAATAATAAAGGAAATGTTACCGGTCACAGTAGAAAGACAAAGAATAATGTGGATGCACATGGAATAATAAAGGAACACAATTAGTTCAATGTATAGAGCGACAACTTTACCTGATTGATCAATTAGCTCTCCCTTTAATGTCACCACACGCCATCTTTTAGATCCCTGAAAAAAGTTCTTTCTATGATTACCAACTTTTGCCCGGACAGTACTAAGACAACATAGATCAGGGTACTGACAGGACTTTAAAAAAAGCCACGAGCAGTTGCATGCTTGCTTCGTTTTATGATTCAGTTGGAAGTTGCCCAAGCGACTAGTCGAGTATCAAAAGTTACTTTGTCTTGCCCAGAGAGAAAATTGACTTTTCATGAACGATCGGAAGGGTTTTTTTTTTAGCCATGATTGGCAAAATTATGGTGTTACAACTTTTGTTACCAAAGAGGAAAACCCTGACTAGATTTCTGTTGTTTTTCCTTCATTGAGTGGTTGCCATTACAAATGCAACACATCGACGAAAGCATTGTTGTTATTAGGAACAACAAAAATGACATTTTTCATTTTCTCGGGTTTACGAATCAAAGGAAAACAACAACGTTCAAAGGCTATACCTGATAAGCAATATCTGTCGCTTGCTTGAGGTCATTGGCAACAAGAGTGTTTCTGAGAGCAAAGTAGAATGCTGTTCGTATCTGATCGTCCTTGACACGGACCAAGTCGTAAAGGCGTGGCACATTCTGTGGTCTATCGAATAAAAAATAAATAAAATATCATCAAAACACACGTTATCGTTTGTAACTTTATTTTTTGTTCTGCCAGATTTGGCTGGGACACCAAAACAGCTTGCTCAATTAGCGCCAAAAACAGTCTCTTTTCAACCTAGCCATAGAAAATGGATCTACATCCCTTGCTGTTTTTGAAACAGAACGTTCTTTTCTTGGCCTTTATTCGGACTCATAAAATGGAAATGGCCATTTGATCCAGAAGGGAGGTTACGTTTAATGACCTTTACATTCGGGCTGTAATGGCCATTCCTTTTGGCCTTAAGAGCTTGATTATGCCTTTTGGACTGACCAATGCACCTGTTAGATTTCAGCAACCAATGGCGAAAGATCCTATCTTGGTGTTGTGATAGTGTGTTGGCACCTTCAAAGAGACTGTAAAGAGGCTGGAAATCGCGCTAAGGCATCACAATGGTTACGATCGAAAATGGACAGCACGAAAGTGAAAATTTCGAAAGATACCATTGTCCTATCTAGGTAACAGTGTCTGCTTTTTGTGTGTTCACTCATGCAGCCAAGATACACTTGCAAGGACATTTCCAAGACAAAGCAAAAAAAATAAAGCGAGTGTACATCACTGAGGAAATTTGTTTTTGTCTTCCGCAATGGGGAAAATAACGGTGGTTTTCGGAAAAAAAAAGGCCGTCTTCTGAAAAAAAAAAATACTCATCTGAAACTTACAGTGTACTAAATAATGATATACAGTAAAAAACCTTACGTTTGGATCTTCGAAGTTGCATCTTTTCTAAATTTCTCTATCTGGCGAGGCAGAACCACAAAGAAAAATGAAATACAAATATTTTAACAATAAACAACAGTAAATCCCTATATTAATAGAAAGTAATAACCTTTCCTTGGAAGTACTTAGGGGATCACACTACTGGTATCGTCACGTATTTTACCAAAAATCTCGCTATTCAGCGACTGAAAATATCTCCAGTTTTAATATAAGCTTAAACCTAATTGAAATTAAACGTTACAATCGCCAACTCTTTCCCTGCAGTCATTCCAAATGTTGAAGCTGATGCCGCAACATGCTCGTAAAAACTGGCAAGGTAAAAAGTTGTTTCAAGGAGATAATTTCCTGCTTGCAAAACTCATATAAACTTCTATAAGGTATTGGATAAGAGCAGTCATAGATCATCACAGAACCTGAGAAATGACTAAGGTATTAATATGCACCCTGGAGTCAATAAGGGCAACAGCAAGTCTGTTCTCTGAGAAAAATTGAAGGGAGCTCAGTGCTCTAAGCCTTTGAAATCCAGGGTTCCCAGTATCTAATTTCTTCAAAAAAAAGTTAAGATTTTCTGGTCACCTGGGAGTAAAAGTTAGGCACAAGGGGCCATTAGGCAATGCTAGAGCACAACCTTGAAAGGTTCTCTGAACACCTAACACCGACTCTTTGTCCCTAAACGAACAACATACATTGTAATTAAGACAACACGATAATAATTATTGACTTCCATACCTTGTCCAAACCAATAAATGTAGCAGTGCCTATATCATTTTGTTTTAAAAAGGTGATACACTTCTGGGCGGTGTCTATACTGTCACAAACAATGTTGTCTAATGGTCCGCAAGCCGTGCTTATTGCTACATCATATTTATCGTCTATGGCACCAAGATCCCCCTGAAAAAAATTTAATTTTTTTGTTGGCAGCTGTTGTATGGGACAAAACAAAACATCCTGTACACGCAAGAAGACAATGACGTCTATCAAGACTCTTACCAGTCGACCAAAGATCCCTTTAATTTTCCCTGACTCCTTTTGCCGCATAAGAGCTTCAAGGATCTTACCGCTGCGAAATAAAATAAAACAGAACTTTTATTGTGTAACGCCAATAGCTGTATGTACATGACACTTTACCGCTGTTTAAGTGGGGAGATACAGATGTAGCTGTGCGTGGATGACTGGTTTTTACAAGGGTGCTTTAACACTTGATCAAAAGGAACCCCTGAAAAAGAAATAGACCTTTTTACCGATACGGCGGCCATATTGAATTAAATGTATTTAAGGAGTATTATGGGATGCCCAGGGGGCATGAGCACGATTTGAAATACTTCCTTTAGTATTTACGCTCACTTTTCCGGCTAATTTTTCTTTAAGTTTTCCTAGAAAAAGATTGTAATGAGAAAAACAAGATCGTTTTGCAGTGTTTGGATGTAACAGTGATTACCTTTTTCCTGAGAAATATACCTTGAAGTTTTCTTTTTGCCCAAAAGCACGCGAAAATACTGAGCGAGTGTACCCTGGGCATCCAATAATACTCCATAAGTTCGATAAATCAGTATGGCCGCCGTATCAGTAAAATGGTCTATTCCATATAATATTTATCAGCACACCCAGATTGCTTCTGTTACATATGCTCATTGTCATTACCACTGAGAACCAATAACATGGGTTAACAGTTAACAAAGTATTGCAACCCCATAAAAGTAGATAGCCATGCTATAAGAAAAGGAAAAAATAATTAAGGAATGTAGAAATGGAATCACTGCTTTTACAATGCTATACTATAGCAAACCTTCTGCGAGATGCTTGGAAAGAGCTTCTTGCTTCTTCTACTTTAGTTCTCATACTACGAAGCTAAAAAGAACAAATAGACTTTAGGAAAAAGGAAAAAGAACATAACTTTCACTATCTGTTTGCAGAATGTCAATGGCATTGGATAACTGAAATACCAATCAAACAAAACATTATTTGGGTGCTTTAGAAAAGACTTCATACACTTGTACTATAATGAACTCAACACAACACAACATTAATTTTAATAACAGGGGAAAAAAAACAACCGAAATTTTTTTCAATTATTTATGCATATTTTTCAGCTGATTGTGATCTCAACAGACCTCTTCTGAAACTTTCTTTTCTCCTTCAATAGCCTTCACCAAGTCTGCTTCTGCTTTTTGAAGTCTGTTTTTTAATTCTGGAACTTCATCCTGTAATGACTGGATTTCACTATGAAGAAAAAGAGAGGTACACGAATACAGGCAAGGAGTAACTGAGGTAAAACTACTAAAGTAGCATAGTGATTTTTGGATACCATTACGTGATCGGAAAAACACAAACGAGAAAAAATCTACAAAAATTAACCATGAATGCAAAAAATGGAGGGTCAGACTTATTTCCCCATCTATTGACCAAAGCTATCTCAAGCACCAAAAACAGCAATTTGTATGTCCTCTTACACATATCTGTAGTGATTCGTTGACAATGCAATGGCAGAAACTGTAAATTGCATCCACTTATTAATACCTTTTTCTTTGCGTTCGTGTTTCCAGAGCCTTCTCTAAGTTGTTGTTTGCTTCTTGTAGTTGGTTCACAACTGTTTCATGCTGACTTTTATAAATTTCCAGCTCACTCTTTGCCACATCCATCTAAAGAAAAATTAAATGCAACACTTTCAGAAAAGATTAATTTTTAATTAATTAACAATAATAGCAGGGGAAAAAAACAAACGATTAACTCCGATTAATTACTCAAACTCCTCCAATCTTGTGTCTCTTTTGTCTCAGGCGTAACATTTATAACATTATTTGTCTCAGGCGTAACATAAAATAAATTATTATTTTAACATCCTGAGCTGACAAAAACTTGAAGATTTTAGCCAGCACAGAGTAAGAATTTAATGCTATTTACCAACTACTATAAAACAAGAAGCTTGCTAGATTCCTTTCACATAAAAGTATAAGCTACTATTACGAGCAAAGGCTACAGCTGTGTTCTTTAGGGGCAGGTGGACAAACATGTTTCCGTGTTTGTTAGCCATAAATCTTTGGTATTTGATTTTAAATTAAGACAAGCCTGAACACAGACCTTTGACTTAGCTTCATTGACAACCTTGTTCCAGCCCATCAACTCTGTTTCTTTTGCCTGAATGGAAAGTGATAAAGTCAAAGAAAAAACAACATCTCAAACACACTTGCTTCAGTATTGAAGCCTTCCAATAACTTTTATTTAACTTTGTTATTATAAGAACAAAGACCAATGACAACTGCAAGCATGAACAGCTTGGACTATGCGCTGAATTTTAAAACAGGTGAATGTTGTAACACGTCATTTAGCAAGGAGCAAGCGCTACTGTACAATTTAAACAAGTAGGGCTGACTGACAACATATATTCTGAAGTCTATAAAAACCATTTTTCCACCGTTAATTTTTTTGCAGCAACTGAGGGTGTGAAATCAACCTACCTCCTTTTCTGTCTGCAACCCCTCAGTTTCCGTCTTTAAGCCTGCAGAATCATGACACATGTTACAATCTCCCTAACAAACACTAAACTGAACTCCAAGCCAAAAACTCTTACCATATAGATGCACATAGCTTAATTAGAAACAAACAACTTAAATTGCACTCAAAATATTCACCTAATGATATCTGCTATGGGTTCCTTTCCTTACAAGAGCATCTAATTTGACAGGGCTGACCAATGCATGAATAGGAACTTCACTTTAAAAAGAGCTCATTTACCCCCACCCCCCAAACCTGACTTTTATCATTTTTTTTTGGAAAAGCTGCAAATGCCCCACCCTAGCACAACACCAAAATTGTATTTTCCAGTTATAAATAAGCTGAAAATGCCATATTCATAGAAAATCTGTTATGATCTGATCAAAACGTGTGAAGCAGCCTTCGCAAATCGCTCTCAGTCTTTAGTTGTAATTATAATGATAATAATAATTAAAAATTTATAATGCACCTTTTCCATGCAAATATGATCAAAAGCGTGTAATTATTGCAAAACAATCACATTGATCTGAGTAATATCAGGAGTTCCTGCTACATGTGTAAAATCAATGAAAGAACCATAAACTAGAATTTTAATAACACTGTTCTTATTTTTGAAGGTACATGTATTTAAAATAATTAATGATAAACAAACAACCCATGGAGCTTAGCATGAGTATATTCACATCACGATGGAACTGCAAACTCTTCAAATGATGCACTGAATGTTTTTCTTGCATGTGCGAACTGAGCATGATGACTGTGGTGTAGGGTGGTGATAGAGCATAAACCACCTGTATCTTTTTCAAGCATATGTATTAAAGACTTTATAAAAATATCTAAAGCTATCTAAATAGGCACATTTAATTTTGACGTGAAATATTAGAAAAGGGACGATGTTAACCGCTTATAGGAGAATTGACAAATGCCCCACCCCTGGGCAGATGTTTTCCAACAAATTTCCCACCACCAGGACCGACAAGATAATAAATGCCCAAAAAGGGGGGCATAAGCATGCTTGGAGTTGACTGAGCCATTACACAGAAAAGGCTATAATCTAAACCAAGCTCTGCATTACCTGCCATGACTTCCGCTAATTTTTCTTCCTCTGCTTTCCTTTTTACCTTGTTGAAGGAAAACATACATCAAACAGAAATAAATAAATATATTACAGTTATGCTTTACTATGTTTACTTTTACAAAACAATGGAATTGTTCTCCTTGTTTAGGGTGGGGGAGGGTTAGGAGTAGTCTGCAAGTTGGGAACTTCTCATGATATGACTGCAAAGCAGAAATTGTGGGCATTCTATGGTCCTGTACCTCTAAGTCATTTTTCTTTTCCTCCAATTTTTGCAGTTCTCTCTGACTTTTCTCAGGGACATTTTGAAGTTCTTCCAGCTGAAAAAGATACAACACCACACAAAGAAGTTTTTAAAAAGTTACACTTTAAGAGTAGGTGGGGTATGGTCACTTATTTGATTCCAGGTGGAAATTAAAGGAAACATGATGCACATCTGGAAAATCTGTAAGCATTGTGTAGATGGAGATCTTGTGGTTCAGTTTACTTTTAATGAGATGATAGACAGCCAACGAGGCGCGTAGCGCCGAGTTGGCTATAATCATCTCATATCCAACAAGCGCGAGTGGACACAAAATCTCGTTGAATCTCCCTGACTAACAAACCGGAAAAGACAAGGGACTTCCGCTATTCACATGTCACACGTCTATCAAAACTGTCAACGCATGAACGGACTCACCTAGACTGCATGAATGAAAAATCAAAACATTAGTTTTTTAAAAACTCATCAGGATTCTAGGATTTTACACAGCAGGACAGCTAAAAAACCTGGCAGATAATGTGAAGGAAAAGAATTTTTAAGTGACAGCCATCGAAATTACTGTGAATTTGGATTTTTGGTGCAGTTATAAAAGTAAGAACGGAGAAAAACTATTACCTCGGTCTCTTGTTATGAAGTTGTTTGAAGCCACAAGCTGGTTTTGCTGAAGGAGAAAAGAAGCTATACTGCTGCCTCGATTGCTCTAGTGAATGGCTGCATAGCCTGTATTTGTAGCTGGTTACTTGTGATTTATATTCTTGATGTCGGATAAACAAGCTGCAGTTATCTATCGGCGAGTGACTTGATTGGCGAATGGCTTCGCGATCATGAAGAAACAACACTTGTCTTCTTTTGTAGCTGGTCAAGGTACTTTAGTTCCATGTGTTTTCATGTGTTTTTCGACAAACTTTCAAACAAGCTCTTGTGGCTTTTTTGTTTGTTTTTGTCTTTTTTCTTTCGATGAAATTGCATTTCTAGTATTCTAAGAAATGAATTAAAACAATTTGCTTCGGGCGCCGTTCTATCCTTCGCGAAAAAAAATCTCAGCTAGCTGCCAATTTTAAACTGACGCGTACGCCGACCACATATGGAGAGCATGGTATAATAGCTCATATACCATAACGGCTAAGCCAATCAAAATGCTACAATTGCATTATCCAATGATTCAGTTTTCAATAATTTCCTATGTTTCAAACTCTATATTACACATTATTATACCCCAAACCAAAGGAAAATAAAATTTTCCAAAAAGGATAAAAATGAACCACAACATTTCTAATCAATCATTTCCATCATAAACAAGGATGACACTGCTTTCTTGAGTCGATGGAAATGTAGTCAAGTAAAAAATTTGGATCTTTTTTCAAGTTATTCTACACATTTAAGGAAAGTGAGGAGAGGAGAATTAGCATGCTTATTTACAGGCAAAGTTGTCACTAAAATATTTTGAGTTGTTGGATATAAATGCCATTACTGCCAGGCTGGGAATTGAACATCTACAACCTGAGGCAAACCTGACACAGTTCTTCCATCATACTACTATCTCCATAGAACAGACAATGTAAGCCCCCTCCCTACTCTCTATTCAAAGTTGTTTAGGTCCAAAAACCAATGAGTTTAATTCTTCAGCAGGGGAGGGGGGAAAACAGGCATCCATTTGGCAACAGTTTTCATTTTTGCCAGGATGACAGGGGGGCCGGGGATTTTCCCCAGCTACTTTTATTGGAAAATAGAAGAAAAATAAAACCATAAGAAATCCCTAGCTGGTTGATTCCCCGCCAACTTGTTGTATTAACCAGGCAACTTGAAATCTTAGTGACAACCCTGCTTAGTGACAGCCATGCAGAGAGTTCTTGTGCTCAAGATACAATAGATATTTTCATCTCATACAAGCATGTACGAATGAAAAAGTGAAAACAAAAAGGAAAAGCCTATGAGTGAATGTAGCTGCATTTAACAATAATAAATTTACTGAGAAAGGTTTGAGCCCAGGAGTCATTTCATAAGTTGGTTGAGTACGATCGTCCAGGTGAATGCACAGTCTTGAATAGGACTGTTGTTGTTTACAGTGACTGACGTTTCGACAACCTCTGCTGTAGTGATTCTCAGAGTCTAAGATGACTACCATAACCAATGATTCTGAAGGTGACTATCGCACAGATTGTCAAAATGTCAGTCACTGTCAACAACAACAGTCCTATTATTCAGGACTACGTTCACCTGGATGATCATACTCAACCTACTTATGAAATAAATTTATTTTTATTGTACCTTTTCTTTTTCTTTTTGGAGATTCTTCTGTAGCTTTTTCTGATTTTGTTTTGAGTGCTTGAATTCCTACAAAAAAAATAATCCGAAAAAAGAAAATGAAAATAAAGTCATGATTAAGTCCAGTTAATGAAAAAACAAAATTTTCAAGAAAATACTTGTATGTCACAGCTGAGGATCTGATCACACATAGTAAAAAAGTTGTCTGATACTTCCACATATATGTAGATGTAAATTATTAAACATGAACTGCAGTTGTATGGCTTTTCATCAATATAAGAGAAAAAAATATTTTCCATTGAAGCAAGTTTAGTGTGCACAAACCTCACGCAGTTTTATATCATCTCTGTCATAAGCTCCAAAGCTCTTCCTAGTTTCTTCCACTACCTTTGCAAGTTCCTCATATTTTCTGAAACATTGTGAACACAACAGGACTTTTAATAAAAAGAAGGGAGATTAATTTATTTAGCCAGGCTTTCAATCTGTTTGCACAGCTTCTCTTAGAAAAATTTCCACATCCAGTATTGATAACCCACTTAAATTAATTCATGACCTCCACTTTATAGCTTGAACGAAAACAAAAGTCATGCAATCTGAGTGTAAAAGGTGAACAGTTCAACTTTGCCCTTGGTCAAATTTTAGTCTTTTTTGTCATTGATGTGAGAGGCATGTACTCCTCATATGATGCTTTCTATCAAGTATTAGGTGGACAGCCTGTATAAAGTGGACACTATAGAGACCTCCCCTAGGATGTCCGCTTAATACAGTATTCACTGAGCACGCCTATATTATTATCTACCTGTTATGTTACTTACTTTGCAGCTTTCTTGTGCTCTTTAGTATGGCCTTTCTTTTTCTCTTTAAAATATATAAATACATATCAATAAACAAGTAAATAAAATTAAAGTAAGGCATACTACAGCATTTGGGTATTCAATGGAGTAAAGCAGAGCTGCAACTGTATACCTGTCACTTTCAAAATTACATGCATGTAGCATGCAAAGAAATGAGGTCAGATAGCCTGGGGCTAGTGGATTTTGCTATTGGGTCAGTGAATTCTGTCTTTAACTTGCCCAACAGGCAAGTGAATTTTTTTGGGGAGTTCAAATTACAGAAGAACTGTAATCAATCCTGCTCATCCTGGTGCATGCTAGCTACAGCTTGCCCAAATGGTAAGCTGTAAAGCTGGCTTAATTTCTTTGCACCCTGCATGTATACTGTAAGTTGTCTAAATATTGTGACAAAATAAAATCTTTTTCTATCACACACGTAAATCTCTGGTGTCTGCACCAAGAGAGATTACATGTACTTTGAGACATCGAAAATCACTCAATCTACATGAACTGTTCTGGTAAAAACGATGTAACATTATAACAGTACCAGTAAATTCAGCAAGTTCCTTCTTCAAGTCATCATATCCCTGTTTGATTTCATCTCTTTTTTCCATTGCCTTTTCTTCATTCAATGAACACTCACAACTGCAAAAACAAATGGAACAAGCAATCTAGATAAGTTTAGGTGAAGTATGCTTGTACAGTGTAACTTAATATCACATTAATTAACAAAAGCTTTTAAAGAAAAGATAAAAATCTTTCATGTGACACAGACTTCAAGGGCTAAACCAAAAACGCTTTACAGCTACACTGTATACACTTATGTTGGGAATTGGCCTCTGTTTATCAGAACTCACTTGATCAATCATTGAATGATTATCAGCAGAAAAATCTCTTGATAAGAATTCCATTCAAAATGTTAAAGTACAAGTAATACAAACTTTTTGAGTTATTGGACTGTGGACCACTAAGCTTGGAATTTTCTTATGTGCTTAAAAGTGATTAAAAAACTGAAGGTACTGCCTTTGCCCTGCAAATAGCTGGACCTTCGACTGGCTCAGATGACCACAAAAAAGGGCTGTCCCCTCTCCAGTAGGAGACGTAAATATAGGGTCCCTAATTAGTACTTTCATGCTAAGTACAGTTGTACATTGATACATTGACACTCAAATAAAGTGCATTTTCTTTTTTTTTCTATCAATGATTGATTATAATCAAAGATCAGTACACCACTAGTACATGTGTAACAGGTCAAAATTAAATTCAGGTTAAAAAAACCTACTGGGTTGATTCTCAGTTACCTTTGTTTCCTAGCTCGAAATACTAAGAGAAAAAGAAATTTAACCTGAATTTAATTTTCGCCTGTAAACATATGCACCAAAAAACTTACATATATCTCTGGAAAAGCACATTTCTTTGTTTTGTGATGGAGTTCTCCATTTTGAGGTACTCAACAGCTTCATTCTTTGAGCCTTCCAGTTCATCCTTCTCTTTTTCTACAGCTTTAACTCTGTTTAACTGAAAACAACAGAACTTGTTTGAAGATACAGCTTTTTTTAGTAAGAGTTCCCTTTCAATACATGTACTTTGCCTCATTTTGACCGATCAAAGGACGCAACCAAAATAAAATTTCTCTGGCCAGTCAACATGACTGGCAACAGTCCAAAACTTTTTTACACCATGTGACAATTGTATACATTAAGGTCACAAAAAGACAACTTTCAAAAAAATTTAATCCCGAAGTACTTTTCTTTATCTGGGATTAAAGAAATTACCTTTTCCCCACGAGCTTCATTTAGGGTCTCAACCTCATTAGCTAATTGTTCAATTGGCTCTTTGAAGCGGCTTGATCCAATGATGTCTTCTAGGTATTCTAACATTCCTTCCTCATGCTCTGAAAGAGCCTTTGGCTTCATCATGGAAATCTGTTCAACTTCTCCCTGTAAATTGAATTAAATTGATAATTCTATATGCTACACGTCACTTACTTCTGAAGTTGGCCAGAAAATTGAAAAATAGACAGGGATCAGATATTTTCTTCTGGTTAAAAAAGAAATTAAGGTCAAAATAATTTCAACCTCAACTCAACCTTTCAACCTGAGCCTAATCCTAACCAAATTTGAAGGGTTACTGTGTTTTGTTACTGATTTCAAAAGACTCTACAGGGTTGTCATTAAGAGCCGGGGGCCGGGAATTTTTCCCGGCTACTAAGAGAGTGGCCCCCGGCTACTTTTATTGGAAAATAGAAGAAAAATAGAACCAAAAGAAATCCCTAGCTGTTTGATTTCCCCGCCTACTTGTTGTGTTTACCCGGCAACTTGAAATCTTAGTGACAACCCTGCTCTAGGACAACTCTAATCTCATGTACCAAGGCTCTATCAAAGAAAAATAATATTGTAATTTTGAATCTGAAAGTTTTGAATCTACAATAACTACTGCAAATGCCCAAGAGCTAATGCAGGTTCCCTGGGGCCTAGATATAGGCACTACACAGCCCTAAATGAGTAACTCAGCACTCAACTCACTTGTAAAATAAGAAACCTGTTGTGATCCAAGTCAATGCCACAATCCTTCAGAAGCTTAGCCACCTCCTTGAATGGAACTTTGCGGTTATTAACATGATAGTCAGAACTGTTGTCTTTTCGTGCTGTGCGGGATACAACAAATTGACTTCCTGGCACAACTTCATACTCATCTCCTGGCTTAAAATACAGAGGTCACAATGAACAACACTAGAAATATGCGGCAGTTTATATATACCTACTAATAGCCAAAATGGATTGAAAATATTGAACTTACATAGAAAGAGCAAAGAAAAGGAGAGTACCCTAGGAATGAATTTAAGGAAGTTCAATTTCTTATCCGCACTCCACCCTTAGAATTGTGGGTTTTTGTAAAGGGGGATTTTGAATCTTTTCTTTTGAGAAGCCTACAATGTTTGGACCCTTCAAACAATATTTTCAAAGATGCTAACAAATAAAAACACATCAGAATTCATTTTACAACACCACTGACGCAAACTTTAGGGTCTGGATTCCAGCCATCTTTAGGGGGAGGAGGGGTGGATGGATAATGTAACGTCTCTTGAAGCATAAATTATCATTTGAAAAGTTTGCATCTTTCAGGAAAGAGAAAAACTTCTATTTTTCTTACAAATTGGGGAATCCCTGATATGGAATGGTATCTTCTCCACACGATAGCAAACATTTTTGCTGACTATCTCGCACAAACTAAGCTTCATCTTGCCTTTAGTTCTTTTCAGCGTTTTAGTACTTAAATAAGCTTATTAAAGTCTTATTAATTTTATTGTCAGTTGCTTATCATTAGAAGAAAGGAGTAAAACATCGGTAAGAACTGCACTTACCAAATCGATGATTTTCTGAAAATGTACAGCTACAGTGCAGCTCTGGACGTTCTGATGATTCTCTGAATTGTGTATCAGCTGAGAAACTTTTTTCGTCCGAATCATTTTCGAACGGTACCCAAACACAAACAACATGGCATCAATGACATTCGATTTGCCGCTTCCGTTTGGACCCACAATCGAAGAAAAATTCTGAAACACACAATGCGATACTTCACATTATCAAACTCATTTGCTTGAGGCCTAAACATTTCTGAACAAAATAAATGCAGAGAAAAGCAAAAACTGCTCAAACTTCTAATTTACAGCCAACAATTAATTGCAACGATCAATCAAGTGTTTACCTTATGAAACGGGCCAAGTTCTTGAACTCCGGCGTAAGACTTGAAGTTTTCATTGACTATTTTGGTTATCATTAGTCGGGCGGTGTTAGCTTCGTTTTTAGGTTGTTCTGTAATCATGGCTTCTTCGGCTTCTTCACTTTCTGGTCTTGGTAGTTGCTCGTTGGAAGTTACATCGTCCGCCATTTTGCTTTTCAGTTTTGGCGCCAAAATGTTTTCCCATGATCCATTTTGTGTAGAGTTGCATGACGGTTACATGAAGAATCTAACTTCAACTATTATCTCCGCTGATCAAATGCTGGGCAGGTGAAATTGAGGTACCGAGACGTCAGTGAGAATGCGTTCGTCAAAAAGGTAGATACTCTTTGTGTTGTCCTAACCTCTAACTAGCAGTTACAAGATATTGAAAGAGATTCGTAATTTGCGAAGGATAAGGCACCCTGAAAGCAGAGCCTGAGTCTTTTTCATCGAGGGTGGAGAAAAGGAGCCAAAAAAGAATAGGCTCTCCTGGCAGGGTGAGGACAAGGCCAACTTATCATAGGGAGTACCCCGCCTCGCCCCCGCCGGGACGGCAACACAGTGTGTACGACCAAAATGGAAATGAATGCATGAACTTAGCCTGCGAAAACATCCGTTTCTCCTCGCTCTTCGCCGCTGGGGACGTTTCGCGAGGAGGAACGTCTCAGGGGCACCCAAAGAGAATATAGTTCAAAACCGCTTAAACATAGCATTGTTAAACGTGTTTTAGTATTTAAACGGTGGATATGGGCATATTTTTATCCCCTATAAATTTTTCATCTGTTCGGATTTCCTAGCTGAAAGTCTAGTGATCCGAAAATTATAGGGATCAAAAGTTACCTGTTCGAAAATTTCAGCCAGAAAAAAGGCTCCCGTAAATTTTAGGTGACCTTTTTAGGGTAAAAATCCGTTGAAAATGGGCAATTTTACCATTTTTTAGATGTTCGAAAATCCTAGGAGAGGTACGCAAGCAAGAAATTTTACAACAAATGTTCCGAAAATTCTAGATCTCAAATCGTCTTCCGAACAGATATTTTTCCGAAAACTGTCGTTGTGTGCCCCCGACGTCTGCGACTCAGCGGCAGAAATTCCATACTGATGACGCAAGCCAATGTTTACATAATAAATCCAGTCGTCATGGGGTTCCAAATACAAATTTGTCCAATTTTACGTGCCTTCTGGTCGATTTTGGTAAAGTGTTGTGTTCATCTGCCAACGAGCTCCAGCAAAACTCTTGACTATTTTGTTACGGATTCTTCGCGTTTACATTTGACCTTTGTAGCCTTTTGTCTTTTGTCTGTCATTCGTAAACAATAGCTAAAACAATGTAACTACTCCGTCGACCAATCAGCGCTTCTGACCGGATTCCGGACAGATTTTACGTCATCAGTATGGAATTTCTGTCGCTGAGTCGCAGACGTTCCTCCGCGCGAAACGTCCCCATCGACGAAGAGCGAGGAGAAACGGATGTTTTTGCCCTGTAGGAGGAAAGCGTGTGAACCCTTGGGGGAAAAAGCCAACGGTTGACACTCGAGTTGCATTCGACTAATTCGCCAAACTGTAATGTAACCAAAAAAAACCGAAGAGGAGCTAAATAGACCTTGTCACGGTTTACGACGCCATCTTGACGAGTAGGCAAACGCGTGAGAAATTACAGTGTTTGTATAAGGATATAATGTCGAATAATTTCCGTAGAACGGCTACAAAGCAAAGGATTGCCCTAAAATATTTTGGAGGCGTACCTGTGCTTAAATTTCTCCAGAGGCTTGCTTTAGATTTTCCATATCTTTGTCTGTAATTTTCCCGGGACTTTCCTACAGACAAATGTATAGGAAATTTAAAAAGTGGTTCTAGGTCTTCTAGTGTATGTGACGCCCTCAACTTTTTTCAGTAGAATCCTAAGGAGTGAAGCTTTAGTTTACAAACCATATGTTTTTCAGAACAGCTGTTCTATGGAAATTATTCGAAATTAGACTCTCATACAAACACTGTAATTTCTCACGCGTTTGCCTACTCTGCCTACTCGTCAAGATGGCGTCGATAACCGTGACAAGGTCTATTAGACCTGTTCTACAAGATATGGCTGTTCACAGAAAAACACACCTTAAAAGAAATATAAAGCAAAGAAATCGAATCACAGGAAATACATCAATTGGTACCTGCAGATAAGGACTAAATGCGGAGTTATATAGGCTAGAAATATCCGTCAGATAAGTCATGGAGTGTTGGGCTGACAGATCACTCGGACGACGAATCGTGGTTTCATGTAATCCATTTATTGTCGTTTTGGCTGCATTGCAAGTTAAATCTTGCCTATAGCCCTGTGCCTCTGTGCCTAGCCTTGGAAACAGGCCTTCCACTTGGGAATAAGAAGAAAATTAAGGAAACCATAACTCTTCCAACTGAAGGTACGTTTCGTGTTGAAAGGGAAAGTGTATTAATTTCATGTACAGTTTTTTACCTGTCTATATCAGTTAGGCGAATACTGCACTTTTATTTTCCTGGCACACTTTAAGCATTATTATTGCTTTATATGCTTTTGTTGTAACTCAAGACAGCAGAGGGCAAAAAAATTATATTGTAACCGCCTGAGCAAGTAGAACCGATTTGTTCGAAGCCCAGCTAATTATTATCGTTGTGTATGAGTTGTCACAGAAAGCAGCCCTAACCTTAAAATTTTAAAGCGAGGCGCAAAATATAAACCAGCAGTTTCTGGCAGAGAGAAAGTCCCTGTAACAATTAGGACTGCGCCCTTCAAATGGAATAACTACATTAAAAAAAGGCAGACTTTTAACTGTTGTATCTTACGGATACTATTGGTTCCTTAAGATCCGTAATATTTGCATAGTTAAAAAAGTTAAAATAACTAGAAGTATTTCCTGCCTTCTAAAATAAAGGGCTGAAGAAACAAATAATATAATTTGTAAATACCAATAAGCTCGCAAGAACGGGACTCTGTCTCATAGTGCAAAACGCTTCATTGTTTTAAAAAGGTTTTAAAATGCATGGCGCATCAAGGTTTGCTACATTTGAGAAAATGACGCTCCCATAGAATGATAAGTACTGTCGAGACTCGTTGGTAACGTTTGTAGGGAATTAAGTTAGTCAGAGAAACCTAAAAAGCGTAGCGCGAATGCTTAATGGGAGATTTGCAAGTTTCACGCTGTGAAATATGACTTTCACTATTAAACTCAGACGTGGATGAAGCAACAGCATTTTCTCTTTTCAATAGTCAGAATAAACTTGATCTCTTTCTTAGCTGTTCAGGATGGAGTCAGCGTGACGCGCAGAAGCAGCAGCGAAGAAGACTAAGATTTTTCTGACTGTTGCAAAACTATGTGAGAAAACTGTTTCAGAGTGATATAAGTAACAAAGACCTGTAACACTCATGAACCAGGGGCGGATCTAGGGATCCCCTAGGGATCCTAGGGATCTAGGGATCTAGGGATCCCCCCCGAGATGACCTGCGGTTTTCTAATACAACTGGTATTCTACAAAAAAAAAACTATGTGGTTTATTAATGTTGAAGTAGAGCAAGAGACGAGTGCACCCTCTCCTAAAAAAAATCCTGGATCCGCCCCTGTAAACAATGTGCGCTTTAAAGACCTTGTTTATCTTTGAACTCTTATTAAATTTCAGTTTTAGTTTGTAATACGACGGCCAGCTATCCATGTGTAAGACGGACATCGATGAGACCACTGGTCAGAGCTGAGTACCTCCGTCTCAGACAGGTACTTCTCCGGTATGCAGCCAGTCAAAGAAAAGTACTCTAGGTCGGTGGGTACCAACTCTAGGTGTCCATTTTAAGGGTGTGATTCTCTGATAGTCGACAGAGTTGACTGGAGTCGATAACACCCCTGAGTTCGTAAATGAACGTAAACCGACTGCCTTAGCTTTTAGGTTTTTGGTGGTCTCATTAAACCTGTTGTGGGATCGACGATCCCTTTCCAACATACGACTTTGCCACTATCATGGAAGCGCTCCTTCTGTGTCTAAATCGTATAAGTTCACGTCTGTGTTTCATTTTAAGAGTTAAATAAGTTGCCTTTATTCTACTATGAAATTCTTCAAGCAGTTGTGTTAGCTCCGCTTTAACTGCAGCCGGTCCTTTCTGCTGGGTTCTTGGCTCATCTACGAAGAATCATAAAAGTAATTTATAATATTTGTGAGCAGTTTACAATCCACGTTGACAATTACTCTACGCTTACTTCAGTATGGCATTTCTATTTTACTACACGCTCTGTTGGCTAGAAAAGGGCTATAGATTAAGAATAAACGCAAGGGGCACTCTATAATCATGCTCGATTGTCACAAGCTTCCAGCCTATTTTTCGCATCATGCCATAACAAGCTGGAGTCTTGATCCTCTAGGCGCTAAGTTGATCAACGATAACACACTCAGAGGACGTTGGTTAGAAAGCAGACGGAACGCTAAAATACGCAAGGGTCACTCTATCAAAGTGCCTCCCGAATGTCACTTGCAAATAATTACTTAGTTACTACGCTATGTAGTTATAAAATCTTGAGCCTCTATACCCCAAGCAGGGAGAATGCAATATATTTTAACGTTGGCTTCCATTGGTAAAAAGCCAAGAAATATTTAAGAGAAACAACCTAGCTATATCTTGTACATGTTGTTCACGATTTCACTGTTCTCGGCTCGTTAGCTCCTTAGTACAAAGAGCGTAAATCTAGACCTAGAATATCTTACTCGTGGCAAGGCATGTTAAAAACTCGGTAGTATGTTATACAGTTGGTGCTTACCTTGCTCAGAATTCAACCTTGACCATATAAAATGGAATGACAAGCCACTTAAGACACAAATGACGAGAGATGTTACGATAATTAAGAGTGTTCGCTTAAAGAGTAGGTTGTCTGTCTCAAAAAATGGAATAACTGAGACCGTTTGTATTTCGTCTGTGGGCTTGGCTATTGGCTGGGAACTGTTATCCTGAAAAAAGTTAAAAGTGGAACAAGGGTCACAAAACAAGCTACCCATTTCGAAGACCTACCTTTACTAAGAAGTCAAAAAAAAATAATGATAAGAATAACTGACAACAATCAAGTTAAAACAGCTGAAATGGAAATTACGTCCTGGTTAACTGGCTTAATAATCGAATTCATGATCATGAATCCAAGGATTATATGAAGTATGTCAGCATTAATGTCCTGTAAGATTTAAAGTTATGTCTCATATTTCGCGCTTTTTCACACGACGTCTACGCAAACTACTCATGCGAGTAACTCCAACTCTATCATTATCAATTAACCAAAATAAAAACATTCCCCCCTCGCCACCAATTCTTTTATCTATCTTTTTCTCCAAGAAAATGAAAGCGAATTTTTTTTTTTAACACAAGTTATGGTGCAAGGCTACCGCTATCCCCAACAGGCAGTCAGTTCTTTGATCTCCCTGGTATCTATGGTTCCCCCTTCTCCTACCTCTTCTTCCTGTAACAGTAACTCGACTGGATTGTTCACTAAGTATTCTTTGAAGTATTTCGAAAGGTTTCTTGCATCTCCCGTTAAAATAATGCCATAATGGAATGTGTTGGGCAAGACTTTCACCACTTCAAAGTCAGAATCATTCAGCTCCTTTTTAAAAGAGTCCACGGTCAAGATGTCAATTAATGCCCCATCTATTGCTTGGGATTCAAGGCCTTGGAGTAGAGCGTCCCTCGTTGGATACGAAACACCTGTAATAAACCAGTGTTGTTAGAATTTTGTCTTCATGTTCCCTGAGAACGTTAGTATTTGTGAGTTTTAACAGGGACCTTTTATCTGACAATGGTGACGGCAAGTAGAACGTCAAAAAAGCAAGCAAAACAACTCTACACGTGCATCACGCTTTTTTGTAGATTTCTTTGTCGTCCCTGCTTGACTACGACGTGAAAATGCCTAATTTCACGTTTTATGGAGGGTGTAAACAAGCGAGGACGAAATTTTCTTACTCCTTCTGAACTTGGCCGATATATTTCATAGGAAATCAACTTCAGGTGAGTTCGCCTTCATATCAAAAAGGCAACGAGTTCGAGTAATCACGATAAAGATTGAAAGAAAAGTGAAATCACTCTTTGAGTGACGTGTTCGCGCCGCAGTCACCGTTCTGGGATCTTGGGTCCCCATTCAAGAGGCTATAACTGATGTCACGAAAGAAGTAAATCAAATTCACAAAAAAGGATTACTCTGGTGTTCGCTATACTTCTCTCATTCCGGTATTTATGAAGTCGTCAGTGGTACTGAATTTGACGGCCTCTAAATATTAAAGGGCTAAACAAAATGCAATTTGGATATGCAGCAAAACATAAAGCTTTACAATCCTGTACCTATATAGCTGCTTCCACAGTTATGGATTTTCTCACTTACATTTCATCCCTTTGCTTCCATTCATGCGCATGCCCAAAGGATACTCTATTGAACCAGTCACCACCCCAACCTGGCAAAAGATGCAAACCGGAATCGTAGTCCGTTTTACAGTTACGGGTGCAAACGAGGCTGGAGTTGACCTTGTGTTGATACATCCCTTCCCCCTTTGTTATGTTAATCCATGTTATTCTTATGCTAACGTGTATTTTTTAGCATGATTTTCATAAGAAAAGGAAAGAGGTTTGTATCAAAACAAGATCAACCTCAGCGTCACGTTCACTCGGAGGGTAGGGTACTAAGCTCATAACTGTGAAGTGGTCTATTATGCAGCACGACGCTGTGCTCAAACCGTTCGTCGAGAGAAAATCTAAAAAAGGCGTTAAATCTTGAGTTCGTAGGTTTGCAGTTCGAACTGCGATGGAGAAATAAGAATATTTTATTGCCCAACTAGTCTTGATAAGGAATTGTGGGGTATCGGAGTTGATACGGCACCATTTTTTTTGTGGGCAGGGGGGGGGGGGGGGCGGCAGGGGGTCTTTTGAATTGGTAAAATCAAGAACGCTCAAACAATATAGAATATTGATCTCTGAGGCTGCAGGTGACGGGTTCCCAGGATAGCTCAGGTGAAGTGTAACTGTTGCTATGGCGGACAACATTTAAGATCACCCGGCCTCATTCCCAGGCCAATTCGCGCTATGCGAGTGAGCAGAGGAGGCTTGGAGCCGAGCGCGGCTAACAACGAATCTGCACTCGCAAAGAAAGTCAAGAAAGACTGAGAAAGAGGCTGAGGACCAAAGTTTTTTTTTCCACAGCGTATTATATTTTTTATTAGCGGAGTTATAACCATCGGTGGCAACGGGATTCTAGTTATGTGATTAGCCCTAAGGTGAAAGCTGACTCTAGTACTGCTTATTGTGCTCCCCTTATCGTGGGAAGCAACCATTTTAAGACCAGCCCATAAAAAGGATATCAGTGTTCTGATACTTACTTTCCGGGATCGCTCAGGATTAGCTGCCTCGTCAATAACAAACACAGTGATTGATGCTGTGATTGAGGCTACAAAGAGTACATTCATGATCGTACCCACTAGAATAGAGACCACGGCAAGTAGTCGTCCTGGAAATGTGATTGGAAAACGATCACCATACCTGTGTGTGAAAATATCCGTTTGTATGAGAAGGCTCCCAGTTGAGGTAATTTTTAATAGTAAGCTTTAGTATTTACCAAATCGGTGAATATCAATTTTCGCGCGTTTTGATTAGCTCCCGTAACTCGGAATATCCTTGGCTATTCACTGTTTTGCGACCGGAGCCAAATGGCGTCTGGTTGCAAGACATTTTCGGAAGACGAAATTTGAGCGATAACTGAAGCAGTCGTACAAACAAATACCAAGAAAGCGACGAACTTTGGCTTGTTGGTGTTTACTGGTAGGTAGAAAATTATTTTAATGCTGAATTTGCAACAAAATCGTAAAAATGCTCTTGACAAAATCTCGGAAATATTTGTAAATTGTAAACAAAGTTGCTACTAAGTGACGTTTTTAATTTACAAAAAGTTACTTTTTTTTGTTTTTATTCAACTGATTTGGTAAATACCAAAACAGCTATCCCCGTCAGGGTCGGTGAACAGCGCTAGATATATACCTCTACGCTTCGCGTCTCGCTATATTTTCACCACCACTATTCACCTCCCCTTCGGGAGATAGTTGTATGTTATTTATCCATCTTTAAAAAATATATACAATGGATTTACATAATTAAAGTGAAAAAACATATACTATGAAAAGCTATTAATGACTATTCTAATAAAAAAGTAAGTAAAAATATACAGAACATAAAAGGAGTCTTGCAGCTCTTGCTATAAACGAATTAGTATGTCTTTGCGTTCTTGACTTTGGTATTGCTACTTTTTGTCTTTACCTTCCTATGAACTGCTTAGAGTAACATTTTATGTTATCATTACTGTATCGCTGAGTAAAGTCTCAACAGTATTTTGTAAGCTTGAGTTACATGTTCTTAGACCAATAAAATCGTGCTTACAATTTGGCTTAATCTTGGATTAAACTTAACCATCTTTCGAGGAACCAGGCCCAGATTACATAGGAGAGTATGTGACGTTGTATAAATGTGTCAATGGCGTTTGTTTTAAATGCGAAAAGGGATCATACTACCACTTGCAAACATTTTTCTCAATTCCTATGTTTTCAGGTGGGCATGGAGGAGGGTGGATACTGCCCCTGACTAATTTCAAGAATCTTGAAACTATAACACGTCAAAAGCCGTCTCAGCCAAGGGCAATTCCTCCCCGTGACATGGCTACGTTGGTGTAAAAATAGCCTCTGTAGCCTGGTCATTCGCCATCTTGGATTTCTCTAGTGCTTTTCTGATTTTCTATGTGCGTGTCAAATATGCGAAGCATTTCCATTTCTACTTGAGAGGATTTTTGACGAATTGCTTCACAATAATCGACTGGTTAAGGCTAAACGTCACGCACATAGTCTTTCCGAAAAGGCGCGGATAAGGAAATATACAAATTGTCTACATCAGACAATAATGGCTTACCCATTAGTTGTCATGGTAACAAAAGACCACCATAACCCTTGCTTCCAACCGCGGGTAAAGCGTGGCGAAAACTGATCTTGATTTACAGCCTTCTCCTACAAAGACAACAACACGGAAGAAGAAGGTTAGGACTCTTGAAAATTTACATTTTATAGCAAATTTATACCACTGGAACATATTGATTAACCGAGGTCTTAAATCAGTACAGAAAATTGGAAGACGGGCTTTTACAAAAGATCCAAGCGAGCTTTAAATTTTGCCCAAAATTTGTTTCTAAGCAAAATCAGTAAGCTGAATTTATAAAGAAGTAATTTTGAACCATGTTTAACCAAACAACTTTTAAATGTGTTAATCTGAAATTAAAGAATGAATTGGCCTTAAGACACTAGAATTAATTTTATTGTCCTAGTTTTCATCAAACAATGGGTTCAGGGGTGTAGCTTGTAATTTCCATAGGTACGCACAATTTTCACGTGAGTGACTCGAACGCATTGTTTAAATTAAAAAGAAAAATGATTATCCGTATAGTACCGGCTTTGGAATTGATGTGGAAAAAAATTAAGCTTTTTAAAACGATAGGAAATCGTGTGACGTAACTGTCAACCACGAAAAAGAGAACAAACGTTTTCGACTGAAACTCCGCTCTCGTTATATCTTCACCAGGGCCGGACCAAGATGCATACAATTAAACCTCGGTCGTACAACCAACGGTGTTAATCCCGGCCAAAAAAATCATAAACAAACTTTTAGCCATCACGTCTTACCAAATTCCACATAGCTAAGCCAAAGACGCAATACGTGACAAACATCATCACAAAAGCAGGCCAGCAGTTCAGGACTGAGGAACCTATCTTGCCAGCGTATATTTCTCCACGATTTGGCTTTCTCATAATCATGGCAAGCCCATCTACCTTCACCACGGGGAGAAATACCCACTCTTCACTGGCAACCTGCTTTTCGGGATTCATACTGATTGGTAGGGTAAACTCAGTGTGCGGCACAGAAAGCATTTTACTGATGTTATGAATGTTGATTGTCTCCTCTCTAAAGTCAAGGACAGCCCCTGTTTGATTCTGCGCAGGCATCTTTTGATCAAGCACAGTCATATCTTGGTCACGTGCACTCCTCTTTCGCCCATCGTATGCAGCGTCACCATGGTCACGAGCATTCCTCTTCCGACCGTGCCTTGTCTTGTCATGGTCATGCTCAGTATGTTTGAAGGCGGCTCTTTGATGGCCACGACCATTCCTTTTAAGGTCATGCTTATTCCTTTTATGGTTATGCGATGGCGAGGTCCTTTCATGGCGATGTGTATGCCTTTTGTGAATAGTCCTCTTATGAGCACAGTCTAAGGTGCCACAAACGTACTTTATCATTTCGGACAGCACTTTAGGAAAAACACCTTCGGGTTCCTGCTTTTCATCTGCATTGTTGCCCTTGTAACACAGCGGTGGGACCTGCATCCAATTGACAGCGATTTTTGCCTCTGGAACGAAAGAAAGGACATGTTAGTCAGTGAGATTATTAAGCTTTAGTTTAGTTTAATGCATTCGCCACAACAATTAGAGTTGATGAATTATAACGAATGTAGAGTGCTAACAAATGAAACACAAACCAAAAGAAAATGGAAAGGAGGACGTGTTAACAGGAGACTGGAACATAACTTTTTTCCCAATTGCAACGTAACTCCCTCAAGATAAGACACGTTAGGATCACAACATTTCGGATTACAACATTGGAGGATTATAGGTCTCAAGCTGAGTTTTTACAGATAGAATTGGAAAAGACTGGCTTTGAACATTGTTAACGGATTGCTGGCTAATTTGAACTTGCAAGGTGAAGAGTTCCATAACTCGGCAGTAACATTGAAGTATAAATTTCTGAAAAGCCCGAATATTGGATTGGCCGTATGTACAAACCTACGTCCTTGAATTTCTTGAAATGGGAAGAAAACTATAACTAGTCACAAAATTGACAAGGGCAAGAGATGTAAGTATAAACGAAACATTACCATTTAAGAGAACCAAAATGAAAAGAAATAAGAGAAAAATCTCAGATATCAAAAGTTTGCAATGTAGCACAATGAAGTAAACTACAGGAATGAGAAAGGAGAAAATTTTCTCAAAATTGCCATGACAAACTTACTGTTTCGTTGTATTTCCTTACCCGAGCAAAACTTCATATGCAAAACTCGGAATCCAACTTCGACGTCGCGGTATTTCTCTACAAATAATAATAATAATAATAATAATAATAATAATAATAATGCCACTGATATTAATATTATAAAGGGAATAAAGGGAGATGTAAAGAATCAACCATAAGAGGACACAGAAAAAATCTGAGCCCCAGATGGGATTCGAACCCACAACCCTCCGTGTTCTAGATCGGATGCTCTAACCTCTGAGCTACTGAGGACTCGTTGGCGAGCAAGGGTCATTTTTGTGGGTTGGACTTGCCTACCGCATCACGCAGTCACACAGTCCATCACAAGCAACACATTAAGGCTTAACTGTATCATAATCAATAATAATAAATAATAATAAACCAACCAACCAATAATAAAATGGACCCTCGTTCATCGAATTAAATGGACCTTCGTTCATTTATGTTCAAAGTTTTCACAATCCTTTGAATAAATTAATGAACCAATCAAAATGGAACGAACGTTTGAAAAAACATATAACAAAGGAGTGAACTAAAACGGTAAAGGAAGGAAGAAAATTAAAACCTCAAACTAGAAATAAGGTCTCCAGTACTACTCTCTTCCCTGGAGTCTCCGCGAGCAATATTGTCTAAATTCCAGAATGAAACTTGCTTGAACCCAGCAACTGGATAAGTTACGCTTAATTTTTTTAATTTTAAATGCAAAACGAAAGACGTTTTCATCAAACATCAGCATTACCTTCTTTAAATACTCGCCCAAACTTCCTATCATTTATATCCTACCATAGTTGCAGTAGCCTGACGCAATCTTACCCTGGTTAGTAACCGGTCCAAATCAGCGCCGATATCCTTGTTCTGCGCCCCTAACGGACCCAACGAATTCCAATCAACTCTCGCTTTGCAGACACCCCGCTATAACGGACACCACGATAATACGGACAGCAGTTAAATCCCAGGCAAAGGTAAGTTATAAATGTTTGACTGAAGTAAATTCTCGCTATAACGGACTCTCGGTAATGAAGACACTAACTTAAGGTCCCTACGGTTTCCGTTGTAAAGGGAATTGACTGTACCGGAAATGCGTTTCCAATTTCCCTTCAAACTGATTGGCTAATTGACAATGGATTTTTTAACAGGCCAATTATGGCGCAGATACACAGGTGGGGGCCCAGGAAAGAAGGATTTCAGCGCTGTTTCGCACGCAGACGGACTTAACCAGAAGTTTAGTTTCGTCTGTGACGCAGGCTATAGTTTCAGCAGACATATAAATGTATTCTCGTACCTGGTTCATACTTGATGAGCCATTCATCGCTAACCGTTCTCATAACTTTCTCATCTGGAAGCTGTACACCAACGCTCATGTGATACTCTCCATTTCCTTGTTGCCAAATCACTTCCAGAAGGTACGAACGACCCTTTAACAGTCTCATTTTAGCAACATTAAATCTATTGCCATATGAAATAAAGAATAATCCAAATGAATGCATAGTCTACTCGTGGCCCCTGTCCAACACTAGTGCACGTCGATTAATGTGTTTCGATCCCTAATCAGATTTGGACTAGATTAATCGAAGGACAAAACTTAAAATTGCGATGTCGGTGTTTCAACACGTTTTTTTGCAATGATGCGATGTTTGTTATTTTTTGACGGAAAAATGTCCCCTCTTTATTAAAAAAACCCTTACAGAACAGTAAAACATTTCAATTTATAAATCGAAAAAGAAGACAAACTTGTTATGCATCAAAAAGAGTGTCTTTCAGTATAGTAAGATTCGAACACGCAAACGAAATGCGACGAAAAGCATTAAAACAGAAAAAAATTTGGAATTCAGCCCTTTTTGGAATCCAATCCACCAGTAGAATATAGTAGGAATGAATCCACAAATCCAGAATCCAAGACTGTTTTTGCTCAGGAATCTCATTTACACTTGCCCAACCATTTCTCAAGAACAAATTTTTGACGGAAAAGAAAAAAAATGCTCAAGTTCATCAAGTCTGTACCTTTTATACTAAAGACATCAGACGCAGGGATAAGGTCAAGGGAGGAAGGGGAGGAAGATAATGCCAGTATTTTTGAAAAAACCCTTTTTGACGTTGTCGACAAAATGACATTAACGCTGAAGACATCAGCGCGATAAGGGGTTTTTTTTTTGGCTAAGACGTTGTCGACAAAATGACCCATTATTGACTTAGCGCGATAATGGGTTTTATGATGAAGCGGGGCATTATCTTATCGTACAGTGCAAGCTGCAGGGGTTGATAGTTGATAGATAACGATAGCTGGCTAGACACCACCACCACAACAACAACAACAACACTTTATTTCATCCCATAATATACAAGAAATAAAAGATTATAACAATAGCACAGACGATGATAGGGGCGCTGGCTGCCCGAAATAACGAGACACAGAGCGGGCTATAAATTCGTGAGCTTCGCTATCGCTCGCCCCTTTTTTCTTACAACGCCGATCGTGAGCTGTTTAGCTTTTCAATAGTGAATTTATTTTTTCTCCGAACGAACAAGCCAACAAACAATCAGGCAAGTGCAGTTTTCACCCCCCACCCCTGTTTGTTTTTTGTAGTCAGGTAGCTTTTTATTATTATCATTTTTTTCATTCTTGTTGGGGTGCCGTAGCTAAGGACTCTGTTTGGCTTTCCTTAGCACCCGCTAATTTTCCTAAATTTTTTCAAACCGTCACGGCTAAACAGCGCTTATTAATAATCGGGCACTCTTTCGTTCATCGTCTTAAGGCGTTTGTGCAGAAAAAGAGGCACATGCAGGCTTTTAGCAGCCTTAGTGGTATAGCAGCTATTTATTTTCATGGAGTTGGCGGCCGCGCGATAGCAAGACTCCGTAAATTCGACTTTCATGTGGTGCGTCAATTGGTCCCAGATGTCATTATTTTGGAGCTCGGCTCCAAAGATCTGGTGGAGCTCTCGCCGCAGACAGTGGGTTCAGAACCGGAAAGTTTAGTTCGGGAACTGTACGAAATTGACTCTTTTCAATATGTCGTCGTAGGACAAGTTCTCCGTAGGCATACACCGAACTCGGTCGATTATAATTGTAAGGTGGGCAAGCTTCACCAATATCTTAAGGTTGTCTCCTTCATTCAGTGAATCCTGGCCGCATGCACGAACGCAATTATAAATCTTTCAGTCTATTGTCTATATATTTGGTATAACTAAGCCGCTCTCGGCATAAAAGTATTTTTAATCTATTTTTTAATGAGACTCCTGCGCCAAAAAAGGTTAATTTTATCCTTACTATACTACTTATGTCCAACGAATTTGAATTTATTTAATATAGTTTCAGGGGCGTAGAGTGAGATTTTGAAGGTGTACGCATGTGGAGAAAAAACGTTGTAGCGCCGTAGTCGACAGAACTTAGGGCTTCTGGGGGCATGCCCCCCCCCCCAAATTTTTCAATTTAGGGTCTCGGAAATGCCATTTACAGCGCTTTCCACAGGACATTTTGAGTAATTTAATGCTGTGGAACATGCAGTAGTTAGTTTCTTTTACCCATCTCAAGTGTTGACGGTAAGGTACAGTGTTAACGGAAAAAAAAGAAAAAAAGGCCAGTGACTCCATCAGCATATGGTATAATAAAAGAAATATTAACACAAAGACGCCAATATAGTGCGAAAAATTTCAGTTATCCCAATTTAATGATTAATGAAGGCTTTTTCAGGAAATATGAAAGGCTTTTTTCCATATTTTAAGTGTACAAGCACACACGGGCGTGTGTGCGTATATGGACGCTGCACTCCTGATTTTAGATACCTTCGAGCGTCTTCCAGTGTAAAAGAATACAGAAAGTAGGGGTGCAAAGATGGAGCTAAGGCGACGTCCGTCCACATGAATCCAGACATTTCTGAAGCTGCATATTTTTACGCGAATGGACGTTCCAACCTCATGAAACCGGTCCTCTTTCACCGCTGCCAATTGTGGTTTAGGACTCCGTAAACTGGAACGCGGGTAACAAATTAAAGTATGCGGTTTCAAAATTGTCCGGATTCGTGTATACGGGACCTAAGATGGTGGATCTAAGATGATAGATTTCTAGGCTGATGAATCCAAAATACACTGAAAATTAAAAAGATCTTTTCAGCCCCTTCTGGAGCCATTTGAGCACAATTTAGAACAAAACAGCTCAATCAAAATGCTATTTTAGCCCACCCTGGGGCCCATTTCAGCCCTCGGGTTCAAATAACTCCTTGGTAATTGGACTGTATTGGCGCTGATTTACGGGAGCCAAATTAGACTCAAAAATAGGACTGTATTTTACTCACCGAAACGGCCCCATTTTTAGAGCTAAAATCAGGGCTGTCATTAAGTGGTGGGGGCCGGGGATTTCCCCCGACTACTATGGACGTGGCACCCGGCTACTTTCAGAAGAGAAATGGAACCAAAAGAAATCCCTAGCTGTTTGATTCCCCGTCTACTTGTTGTTTTTACCGGGCAGCTTGAAATCTTGATGACAGCCCTGTCGAATCCAAGATGATGGATTTAAGCTGGTCGAACTATTTCGGTTGGAGGGGAGTACAACGTGCGTCACTGAGGTCAATTCTGCATTATGAGAATTCGGTACTGTTTAACCTCACGCTTAACAGATTTGTGGTTGGTCATAAAAAAAAAGAAACAACAACAACAACACCCTTAAAAAGGCCGCGCTAGGAGGGTGACCCCTCATCTAAAAAGGGTAACAAAGGCTTGAAAAGGGTGTCTTTTCTTTGTTTTAAAAACAAGGTGTGAACTTACCTTTTCCAATCCCGATAACGAGTCCATTTCGTTACATATACCAAAGTTGTCAGGTTCTTCAGGTCGTTGTCTGTACTCATTCTCAACTTACAGAAGTCATCACAAGCGATGTTGAATTTGTAATCTCCAGTCAATGGTGCTAAAAAATAAGCCCGGAACCTTCTAGCAAAGTAACGATTGGGGCCTTTCTCTTGGATATCTAGAGAGCTATTAAATGAAGAACTTGTTGGGCTCTGAGATTTCTCCAGTTCTGATATTGATCCTCTGAAATCCTTCCAGGTCTCACTCAGCACACCGAATAACTCTAAAAAGAAAATCAGTGGAACTGTTACAGCAACAGCAGCAAGGAGACTAAAAGTGTGACCGCTTTTAATTTATTCACATTCTTTCGTGCAGATTTAATCCAAGCCAGGTGGGAACTGTCCTCGACTTCTGATTGGTTGATGCCTTCATGAAAGAATGTGAATGAATTAAAGGAGATCACACTTTTGGGCTCCTTGCTGTAATAGCAATGCTAATTTCCAAATTTATTTCCAATATTTTTATCTTTATTTTTTTTTTTCAAAGAAGAGGGTGTAAATAGGCATACCTCAACATAAACAATAAATGTGTTTCCTGGTACAGTAAATAATTTTGGCGGAAACTCCTTCTGGATATAGATTGAAAAGAACTTTTACTTTTATCTACTGAGTTGATATACCAAATTTACCACAAAAGCTGGGTCTTGTGCTGACGTCTAAACGTAAGTGAGTTGCACTGATTCGAAGATGTTTTGTAAATAGCATATTGCATGCATCGCAACAAAAATCACGGAGCAAATCACTTGGCACCTTGGCGAAGTTAAGGCACTTTGTTCCTTCCTGCAGTATGCTAAATATTTACAGATCTCTGAAGTAAATAAAGGTTGTTGTTTTTGTTGTTGTTGATATCCCTTTTAGCTTTTAGGTATTATTTTCCCAATTCAGGTCACGTGATGTTCTCATTGGAGTTTGCCTATTGTCTGTTCATTAGTTTTTGTACGCTTGTACACGTGGATAGCGCGACATTCTCTGGGGCAACATCACATGGTCTGCAATGGGGAAACAAAACGTACAGGCTTAAAAGGTCTATTGTTGGCTTCAGTACACATTACCAAGGTTACCGAAAAAGTCAGTTAGAAATATCATTAGAGACCTTAAGATCGAGGTTTGGTCATTTTGCTGCCAATTTAACGACAAACTGCGGTTTGAGTTAACGGTTTCACGTTACCTGTACCCATCTGCCAGTATTTCAGGCGATTCGGGGGTGGAAGCTCGGGGCTGCCATGTTTGTGTTCATTCATTCACTTCTATTTTAGCTGAAATTTTTTCTTCAAAATAATATCTTTTTGATAAAGAATTCGATAATTAATAAGCAAAAGAGTTCTAAAAAGTACTATTTCTTCTCAAACGTCAGATTGTGAATTTTGGGGTGTCAAAACCTTTCGGCAAATCACGTACCTCTGGAGCGTGGTCTAGCTGTACAAACGTGAACCTCTAACCGCAAACCTGACGGCAACTCATATGCCGGTAACCATAGAGACTTTATTCAGTTTTTCCAATAATCAATAATTCTTCTAGAAAGTCGGACACAAAATATCATGGTAATTTTCCTCCTTCTCCCTCGTTTTCTGCCAACATTATTCATGTTATTCGTGTTTGAAAAGTTACAGAGAACTGAAGTCAACCAAAAAGCGATCAAAAAACGAGTTAGGACAGAGTGCGAGTCATGCGCCATGCGAGAAACTATATATACAAAAAATCTAAATTAAAAAGCAGTAATACGGGAAACATTAACGGAAAGCCAACCATTCTAAATAAGTGTTTAAACCTAAACAAAGCTTAACCCTTATACGAAAAAATGAGTGCTTAACCGCCCTAGCGAGTAAAATGTGCTCTTAGCCCTGATCAATGAAAGTCGACCAAAACTGCGTAATTCTGCAATTGTTCCAGCAGAAAAACTTACATACCCATTGGGAACTAAGCAGGAAATAAAACATTTTTCATGTATTTGCAGTTTCATAAAATAATATTTTACCCATGATTGGCGCGAATTGCGTGCATGGCTCACTGGCTCGAAGATTGTCCGTCCCTTTAAAGAACAGTGAATAACGAAGCTTATTTTTGAAGCGGTCAAGATGAATTCTGGGAACTTTGTCTGACGTTTAATATCGGAAAGCCAACACTGACTTGAAATAGTGTTTACTAAATTTCTTTCATATATTGCAAATGCAACAGTCAAAATTCATTTATGTTTAAGTAAAAACATTGGCAAAATGCACAAAATACTTATTAAAGTTAGTGTGAATACTGATTTCGGAATAATTAGCCTTCCAACTTGAAATGATCTTGAAAAGTAATGGTGCTGACCTAGTCCTTATTTCAATTCTTAGTAAGTTATAATTTATATAGTAAGTCAAAAGCCTATTGGTAAAAAAAATCAAACGTTAAACAGTGACTCAGTAACAACCTAAGCTTGGATTAGAACTCCACGTTTACTCACAAACGTGATCTTAGTGCATAAACCTTCATAAACGGCACTTCTTAGTTATTAGTGTTTTAACAAAACACTTATAACGAATAAGTACTTTAAAGTACTCTTCTGTGGGATCAAGATGCTATGTTTTGTCCCTGAAAGATTACATTTGTTCAAGACCGTAGTAACCAGAGACAAGGCAAAATATTATAAAATATACAGGTGCGCTAGCGCGGAAGGCTTAAGGCTTTTCAGAAAATGCACCCTGCCGAATTTTTTTAGAATTAATATAGAGGTTCTGAAAAGCTTTGTTCAGAAATTCAAAAGGGGATTTCTTTACATAAATTAATCTAGACGAGGCAATTAGGCATGCTAAGTGCGGCTTGATTTTCTCCTATTTAAAATCTTCACAGCTAGGTTTCGATATTTTGTTGAATAACAACACGGCCCAGCACCTGTCGACACAACGGGACCCCGGATTTCCAATACCGCATTTATTGTTTTGTGGCTAAAATTTGTTTTCTGGTTCCCTGCAGGATATCAGTAGTTTCAGTTGTAACATTGTTGGTGTTTTATTGTTCTTCATTGTACCGAATTATGTTAATCAATGCTCCACTTTTTTGAATATTCAAGACGAATATAACAAGTCATATATGACCATTATTTTATCTTCAGTTGTTATGAAAATATTTCGCGGATTAATTACGGTGTTGGAGTGTCATTGAAACTGTAAACCTTCTCGTTCGAAGTGTCCTATCGCGTTCCACCACAGGTTCAGTTAAACCGTACAAACTGTTCATCTGAAGTCTGCGACATGATCATGACTTGTCTTAATTTTGCTATTTGTGAAATTTTCGAATGAAACTGATTGCAAAAATGAAGCACAGTCATAATTTTATTCCACACAGATGAAAACAGAGTGTCATTCCTTTGTTAAAAATAATTTAGTTTTGGGCGGATAATTATTCACATACAGTCGTGGAAAGTTAACAGTATATAAATGGCCGCTGAGAAAGCTTTAGAAGCAAGCTGAAATTTCGTTTATTCTGACATTTCTGATAAGGTTCGTACGCGTGGGTTTCTGCACAATAAGTACATAACAATTTTATTTCATATACTTTCTGCATATTTGACGAGCCAAACGCCGCCTTGGTGTATTTTATAAGCAATGGCTCAAAACGTAAACAAACGGACAAGAGACTTGTCATTAAAAATGATTTTGGCGTAGCAGGTGGAACGATAAACACGTAAAATTTTCAAGGTTTGAAATTCTCTTACGTTTTTTAAAAAATTTTGGCTACTGTAAAACTGACGTGCTTTTTAAAAATTATTGGTGACTTTAAAACTTATAAAGTACTTTGACGCAACCATCTGTGATTATTTAAAGATGTACGTGAATTTGTACTAATTATATAAGCCACTAAAGGCTCAGAGCAGAATCTTACAAGCTCGACACCTGCAGGAAGTCAATTTTTTTTGCACATAGCTTCTTCCTTTTTCTTTGTTAACTTGGTGGCGAGTGTTACGTTTTATTACGACAGTAAAACAAAAGACGCACTTAATTTTATCGCCAAGAATGTTAATATTAAGTGAAAACGCTTGGAAGAGTTAGTGTGTGATCAAGTCACAACATCCTAGCTAACCCTCTTCCAAAGGCTCAGAAATCTCCAAGGATAGCATGACATTTTTTTAACATTAATACCTTTATAATCAGCATAACTGCACGGTGTAGCTGTGTTCGTTCCCAGGATAGCGAGAAAAACCTGTTAATTCAAAATACAACAGATTAAAAATGTTAATGGCGATATCTACAAATTAATTTCACTTAGTGACTTGTACTTCTTGAGGTAAATGATAATCATTACATAGCGAATTGTTCAAATTGCTACATATTTTACTGACCGCTAGAGCACTCAATCCCATGTAGCAGAAATTATCCATTACGACCGGTAATTACGCATCGGTTTAGTTCAAGTCAGTTATGTTGCCTGCTCCTCAGCTGAAAGTGATAAATGACACAATATAGTTTACTTTGAATGCAAATGTTTAATGAGATCTTAAGGTTGTGTTTACACTTCACCAGACAGCTTTGGCGCCGGCACGAAAACCTTACCGGATAGGGCTTCTACGGTGATTTCGGCGACATTTCCATCTCTGAGCGAAGCTATACCGCGCCTAAACTCTAAACTGGAAAGTCAGATGTTTATGCTATAACGGATAGCTTTTCATGTCTGCCTGAAACGCTATTCAGCATAGTGTGGACACAGCCTCAATTTTTCGGCTTTCAGTGCTGCAAGCAATGTACCCGATAACGGTAGAATAAATGTGACCAGGTTCTTATAAAAATGTGTTCCCCGCGAAACAGAGGAATTGGTGTTGACAGGGAACATTTTGGGGGGAATCGCTTTCTCATGATTTTTATTAAAAAAGGGAGGAAATAACTGAGAATTAATTTCCCTGTGTTAGCTGGAGCTAAGCCATTGTGTGAACACCACAAGTGCTACCAGCTAACTGGCCAAACCGGGATTTAAAACACTATTATTAAATTTAGGCATGATGTTACCCCATCGGAATCTGTGTTTTTTTTCGCTGACCACTCTACATGAATACTGATCCTGTCTGTGTTGCATTGCTGGCTGGGAATTGAACATCTATGAGACATCTATGGGAAATCCGCATATGGAAGGCGTGGGATGCTCGTCGTCTCGTTTAGGGGTGAAAATTTCGGATTTTTGGTCTCTCTGGCAAAACGCCATCATATTTAGCCATGAAGAACTCTTTTAGGGTTGCACGTGAAAAAATATAAAAATATATATATTGTCTGTGTTTCAACATGGTCTCTTTAGGGGTCAAAAAAAGGTTGGGCTACGCCCAGATCGGTCTCCTTTAGGGGTTTAATTCAAAATTTCCGACCAGCATCCCCACCCCTTTCATATGCAGAGTCTCCCTCGGCTTTCCAGTATAGTGTGAATATAACCTAAGGCAGCTGAACGTAGTCGTTTAAGTCAGCGTTGGACGATTTTTTTTTTGGAAGCTCCTCAACGTAGTTTCACATTAATGACCACTTGTTTCTTTAACCATTTGTTTTTTCTTTGTTTTACCTACAGTGGTTTTTAAGG